TCAGCAGGCGGGATTAAAAAGCCTAACGGGCCGTAGTTTGCCTATGCCTGTACTAGGTCATAGCTAGAGCGTTGCTACTGGGTAGGACTATGTGTATCAGAGAACTGCTGTAACCCTTTGACCTATTCATCAAGGAGCGCAAATACACACCTGTGTCCGTCAGGTGATCGTTGTGCTTGATGTGCATACATGGACAGGAATAAACATAGGTGCCTTGCAGGTGTGAAGCCTGTCTCACATATGGAATGGAAAACCTACACATACTGGTGTGTAACAAAGGCTGAGCGCTGTTTCCACAACTTTTACAGTGGGCGGGGTTGTGTCCAGGTGAGAGTGTAATCGTAAACACGACACAGGGTTGTGTTTATGTCTGATGGCTCAAGACTAAGGCAACTCACTCTGTCACATAAGGATCACAGCAACACAGAAGACTGCATTTAAAACCACTCTCTGCTTTTTGATATGAGTGGAAAATGTTGAATTGATTGCAGTATTTGCATTCATATTAGAAGAGACTGATACTTTTAGGGATTTTCAGAATTTATTTGTAGTTTAATCAAAATGATTTAGATCGTTTCTGTCAAGTGGTCATAGTTCCAGCCTAAAATATAACATATCATCAATCAACATATCATAGCAGGACCTCTGTATATTGCACACTTTTTACAATAGTAGTAGGCAACTAGTATTCGTATTAGTCAGTGTTGGATTTCATGAAATACATTCATGCATCCTGAACATGTTGTAAAAGCAACAGAAACTTTCCTTCAGTGAACAAACATGAAATCAGGTCTGTTTTAAAATGTTCATCTTCACTAGTGCTGGAATTAACCACGCTGTCTCTTTTGTTTCAGATCACTGGAGCTAAAGGTTGTATTGGAGAGAAAAGGATACCTTCGTTAAAAGTTACATCTTGAAGGAACTGAGTGAAACTTCCTGTGATCATCCGCAGAGTTCCAGCTAAAGTCTGCTGAGGTCAGGGTCTGCACAGCTCCACCTGCCATGACAGACACCGCCTCCTGAGTTGTGATACCCTACCACAGGGGAGGATGGGTGATGGGCCTGTGAAATTCAGCAGACTCTCTCCTCCGTATCCCATCCCCTCATGGAGCCCCCTGCTACACCAAGCCCCTCCTGGAACCCTTCTTTCTCTGGCTTTCCCACGTTTCCAGCCTCACAGCACCTGGCTAGCTCTAATGTGACCCCGGCCATTGCGAGCATTCAAGGTGGGGTAGATCTGAACCAGTCCTTGGCTCTGTGTGCTATGTTCATCATGGACATACTGGCAGTAGTGGGCAACTTGGCCGTCATGGTTGTCATCACTAAAACACCACAGCTGCACAAGTTTTCCTTCGTGTTCCACCTGTGTCTGGTGGATCTGCTGGCAGCACTGGTGTTGATGCCTCTGGGGATGCTGTCAGACCGAGTCCTGGGGTATGAGGTGCTGTGTCGAAGCTACCACTGCTTGAGTGTGTGTCTTGTGAGTGCTGCCATCCTCACCATCTGTGCCATCAATGTAGAGCGCTACTACTACATTGTCTATCCCATGCGTCATGAGGTGAAGATGACAGTGGGGGTGGCGGTGATGGTAGTGGTAGGAATCTGGATTAAAGCTGTTGTCATGTCACTGCTGCCTCTCCTGGGGTGGCTGCTCCAGGGGGACCATGGTCCGGGGACTCCTTCAGTCCTCATTCCTACTCAGAAACATTGTTCCCTCCACTGGATGGGAGGCAGGACAACACACCTGCTTTTTATGGTCTTCTTTGCATTCATCTATTTTCTGTGCCCATTGCTGATCATTCTGGTGGTCTACTGCAACATGTTCAAGTTGGCACGAGTAGCAGCCATGCAGCATGGTCCCCTTGTCAACTGGATGGACACGCCACGACAACGGTCCCAGTCCATCAGCAGTCACTCCACCATGGCAGCTAGCCTCAGAGAAACTGGTGCACGCAGCACCCCTCAGAGGACCTTCAGTGGTGGGAAGGCTGCGGTAGTCTTGGTGGCAGTGGGAGGACAGTTCCTCTGCTGCTGGCTGCCATCTTGCTCCTTCCATCTCTACTTGGCCATGGTGTCTGTCTCTCCTGCCTTGCTGGCCCAGGTGGAGGATGTGGTGACATGGATTGCCTATTTCTCCTTCACCTCCAACCCCTTCTTCTATGGCTACCTGAACCGACAGATTCGTGAAGAGCTGGGTTGCCACCTGGCTTGCCTTTTCAAACGGACTGGCCCCAGAGAAGGTGAGCAGCTGCCAAGCCATGAGGCCTCTATAGAGGAGAACTTCTTGCAGTTCCTTCAAGGCACTGGATGCAGCCTGGAACCATGCAACTCTCACAGCAGAGCCAGCCCAGAGGAGCCAGAGACTGAGGGCCTTCGGGAATCAGCTGTTCAGCAGAATACGACAGTCGACTTCCACATCCCAGGGCAGATCCTTGAGGAAACTTCAGAGTTTATACAACAGCTGAACAGTGAGCTGCATGGATCAGAGAATTGCTGCAAAACTGTACCTGAGCTGTAGTTGCCTCTCATGTCCTGTCTCTTTTGCCATCCAATAATCCACACAGACACTAAACCCTTGTTGTGTTAATCATAAAGAAGTGCTGAAAATCTGGGAGAACAAAGCTTCAGGGAAACAGTTTTCATGGATTATAGAAAACTGAAAAAGCCATAAAAGTATCCACCCAATTCACTCATTAAAATCTGAGTTCTCCATTAGATGCAAGGTGATAATGTACAGTATACAACTGGTCATAGGCCATAGTTAAATCATCATTAATACATTAAACATAGTGTATTTCCATCAGCATTTCCCTCCTTTGGGTTTATTTTTATTTTCATTTTTACAAATGTAATTCAATAGAAGTGTCAAGTATTCCCTTTTCTTCATTTTTAAGTCCATCTGAGCCCGTTGACTATCAAGTCACATTGACTCACTGATACAGCAGGTTCTCTACAAGCAAGCTGATATGTTATTAATGAATTAACAACTGTGGTAAAGGTTCAAGGATATTGTTCCTGTTGTTGCCAGTTTAGTGAGTAAAGGATGTGTTTTCATCCTGTATTTATTTGACTTGCACATCGCGTCATGCAACCAAGAAATTAATGTAAAATGTTATTTTTCCTCAGTAAAACAGACTGAATACACAGAGCCATTAAAAAATGTCTCAGTTTGAAATATTCACAGTGTTGAACAGGATCATTTCACAGCTGCTGCTGCCGGTATTTATAATAAACAGGCTGACACACCGGTGTATTTTTAGCTATTTTCCAGGAACATTATTATCATGTTTATTTTTTTCTTAGTCTTGTGATTATCACCTCCTCACTAAAATCATCTCACACTGGTAGACTTGTGATTTCACCCTCTTCCGCTCAAAGGAAACATTGTGACTGGTCTGATTTGTATGACAGTGTTAAGGATTTTGTAAAAAACATCATCTACAGCACATTAAAACTGCCAGGTTGTTGAAACGAATCTCGATGTGGATGGATTCAAACATGGCAACCAGTCCTCGTTACCCTGTGGTGTCGGTGTTATTTACAGGTAAGCACAAGAACAGTATCAGTGTCCTTGTGTTTGTGCTTTAAACAGCTGTGCTTGTTGTGACTACACAGCGCACAGGTGTGACAGTGCTTACGCTACACATGGCAAGCTTTGCCTGTGGTCTCACTGAACAAAAGTGGGAAGACACTGGTGATACTTTTGTTGTTCTCAGGTGGAATTGTTTGCAAAGTCACACAAGCAGTGACAAATGTTTCAAAGACAAATGCAAGGTACAGGTCTCTCTTACCAAACACTTCTTCTCTTTTTATATGTGGTCCCTTGCTGCATTCATCTATTTTTGGCTGCCTCGTACTGGACTGTTAGCATGATCACAAGACACAAGGGCAAACAAGGAAGGTTCACATTTTGCTGGGAGTCAGAACTAAAAAAGAACTCTTTGTCAGAGAGGAGGCATAATGTTCTTCATTTTCTTACAATATGACTTTGTTGCTGACTGTTTTTCTTTCCGGGTCATCTTGTTTTCCTATGTTAATATGTTTCTTTTGTGTCAAAAGATGGTGCAGTAATTTAGAAACACAAGACAAAATGATAATAATCCTTTGATATGTCCACCTTTTTAGTATTAAAACTACAAAATACTAAGTTGAAATATGTTAATACACAATTTTTAATAACAAAATAACATAACACTGCCTTGATGGTTTTACACCAGCACAAAACAGTGGTTCTAGTTCATCTGTGATTTTCCTCATTTTGCCTTATTGCTCATCTTCCCTTCATGGTACAATGTTTCACACAGGTCGGGGTCATGCAATAACCCTTATGTTCATCAACCTACCATTTACTCAGCTGCATTTCTGTTATGTTAACTGTAAACTTGTCCCAAGCAATCTGATTAAGCACATTAAACTCAGTTTCTACTACCATCTGTTGAAGATGAGGGTGGGAAAATAAACTGATCTGAAGGTGAAAGGTGGATGATGTTCCCAGCCTTGGTTGTCTTCATGCACATTATTAGCCACACAAATCATCAGCACAGTTGATGTCTTTGTGTTCTCTCTCTAACTCTTTTTGCACTGTTTGGATTCTTCATTATTAGGGTTTGTGTTTTTCTTTTGTTAAGATTTCCCTGTGTATTGACTACCCATCAGCTGGTTAAAGACACAGGACGAAGAAGTGGGTGTATTAAGGTTACTGCCTGTTTTAGTTACAGACAATATTGGATCAGTAATCGCATCTCTCACATGATCAGTCCTGTCAATCATTTCTTTTGTCTCCTGTCCTCAGCTGCCTCCTCATGTCTGCCTCATGTGTGTGTGGTGCAGGTGGGGATGTGGGCAGGTGGAGGTGGGGTGGGTGTGCAGTGTCACAGAGGTCAAATGAAACACCAAGGACAGGATGAAAGACAGGTGACATTTTAGGAAGGTTGGATGATGGAATTACTGTGAACAGCAAAGACCATTTATGTTTGGATTGTTTTGTTTACATTTTTACCATCAACAGCTGAAAATTGTCTCTGTATTTGGTATTTCTAGTTTATAATGCACATCTGAAGAGGTTCTGGAGGCAAAGTGTCAGATTTTGGCAGACTACCATCAACACAGCATCGTCCTCTGTTTTCTAATTGTCCTAATTTTCTTACTCTCTCCTATGCTGCTCTCCATTGGACAGAGTGACTCACAGCTTTCATGTTGAGCTGTGGCGGGAGCCTCCCACAGTGCAGCTCAAACAGCCTGACCTTTATGATAAGATACAACTTGCCCAGTGAAAGTGCTGAAGAAGAACAGATGGCACCATTTTGTCAGAGCCAGCGGATGCACAGCGCATAACGGAGAGCTATGATATTCTGAGACAGCTCCTGCAGCTCCCAGAACAGAAACCAAAAACAAATGTGAGCACAATGGCTGACTGCAGTGAAAATGTACCCTCGCTGGATACCAGATGAACTCACATGAATTTCTCACTTACTTCCAAGTCCTGACTTCTCTGAAATCAGCTGCTGCCTTGGAAACGGTCGCGGTGCCCTGATGACTGAAGAGCAGGAGACTGACGCTGTTCAGCCAAAAGGAGCAAATTTATACGTGGTTGCAAAAATCTATGGACTTCCAAAGGGAATTAATATAGCCACTTTTTTGTCACTATTAGCAAGGAAGGCAATTTTTAAAATTAGAGCTAGATTTCTAAATCTCCACCTCAGATATTTAAGTATTCTTTACTAATCTACATCAGTAATCTAGAGATTCTGTGGTCATAAAGTTCTGTAATCGATTTTTAAAAGTTCTTAATAAATATATTTTGGTTCAGAAGATATGCTTTCATGCAAAATGATTTCTCATAACTTTGCCCGTAATTACCTGCAAGTTCAATTTCCTCACAGTAATAACATGGAATTAAATTTAGAGTTGAAATGGTTAATCGGTTCGTCCGTCAGCAAATAATGATTCTGAAACTACTTTGATCAACTATTGAGATGGTAACCACTCTTTTTTTTTTATTACCGATGAATCTCCAGATTATTTTTTGTACTATAAATAGTCCAAAAAAACAAATATGTGACTGGAAAAAAAACCCAGAAAATCCTCACATTTTAGAAGCTGGAGCCAGAAAACTACTGAGCTGATTAATCAAGTATTATACTGATTAATTTTCTTTCAACTAATAGCTGACTAATCACTGCAACTTCGTCATTGACGAATTGTCATTTTTAAAGAAAACCTGCCAAAATATGTTACTTTACTTTGTTATATTTGATTATATTTGAAAATTTACAGATGATACCTTGGGCCCTGTGAAATTTTTATCAGCATTTTTACTATTTTCTGACACCTTGTAGACAAACAAGTAATCAGCAAATGGTGAAAATAATAGTTAGTTTCTGCTGTAGTTAAATTACTCTATGCTCATCCTCCTTTTAACCTGGATCAGAGTTTAGAGCCTGATATACTGACTAGATAAATCCAGACTGGGTGATTATAAGGTGGGATATCTCATAAAATCAACTGGATTTTTGCTAAATGTCATTGATTTTGTTCATGCTGCAGCATAGCATTATGATCCATTAAAGTTGTCCACCCACTAGACCCAATAAACAGGTTCGAGGTTTGAAATTATGGGTGACCAAGAGACAGCTGGGGCCAAAACCGTAAAACTAAGAAAATAAAAATCTGAATTTGACCTCTTGTAGCCTTGTCTGACAGTCATTTGTAATGCTGAGTGAAAGTTTATCAAACCCATACATGCAGTTCAAATATTAATCCCCTGAGGGCGCTCTCGCACCACACAAAACCCCTGTGACAAGCTGCACATAGAAGATCCATAGATTTGTATGTATGCGCACAGCTGACCCTGAACGGAAGAGAAAACTTGCAGATGTGACTTCAGCCTGTTTAAACCACAAGGCGTGGGGGGGGTGGGCATGTGTGCACTGCTTAAGATGCACACACAGGACTTGCATATGTGGTAGTTCGGACGTGACTACATTTCCCATCGGCACTATGGGGCGCATTAGTTTTCCTTTTCCAGCGCCGTTGTCTCTTTGCAGCTGGATCAGCTGGATGAAAACGCGACAGTGGAGCAGTATTCAGTTTTACGAGAGAACTCCGGTGATTTTATAGCATGTTATCTGAAAAGGTATGATTGAGTGCTTGATTTCTCAAACAAGTTTCTACATTAAGTATTTTTTTCCTTATTTAATTTGTGAGTCTATTTAAACTACGGATAAATTAGACGAAAATATTTTTGAAACATCTATTTGACGACTTTTTTCCGCTTAAACCCAGAACTGAATCACTTGCACAACCAGTAGCTGGGTGGCTGTGGGTTTGCAAACGAGCCTCCGGTGCCAACGCCTTTCCCCTCTCTCCGCTTCTCCCAGCCTGGGAAACTTTAGCTTTCGCCGACCTAAGAGCGTTTTCTTCCAACTCATGAACTGTTGAGACCACAATCCGGCATCAAGAAGTCGTCTGAAAGCAAAGATGGGCTGCACGATCAGCGCCGAGGACAAAGCTGCGGTGGAGAGGAGTAAAATGATTGATAAAAACCTGCGGGAAGACGGAATGAAATCCTCTAGAGAAGTGAAACTGCTTCTGCTCGGTATGATCTAGCTCTTTTAATGCACATAAACAGCTTTATTATGACCAGCCTATATAAGCTTTTAATTTTCATGCTGTCACTGCTGCCTTTACTTTATCTGACTCCGAACAAACCCTTTCCTGCTGCTGGCGGTTTTACGCAGATGTGGCTCGTCGTTTCTTCACTGACAGAACTTCCAGAAGTGAACCAGATGGTGGTGGTGAGAAGGCAGCAGCACGCCCTTTGCTGTCTCACTGCTTTGCTATTAGTTCTGACTTGTTGAAATGCAGGGAGTCCTTGTTCAGAGGTGACTAGTTGTTGACAGGAGTCGGCGCCTGTAACAGAGCACGTTGTGAGGCCTGCCATACTTCACTGACTACAAATAAAACGTTGCATCTGCAGGGACATGTTGACCCCTGTGTCTGTATTTACAGTATTGTTGTGGTATTTTTTAATTTCTTTCCACGTCATTTTTGTGCCTACATTAATAATACAAATCAATGAACAATTTCCATCAGGTCTAGTGATTTTGAGTTGTGTGTTGCCTTGATGTATAATTCCTCCTTGGCCCTATCTGTAGTCACTGGATTAAAGCTAGTGCAGTATCAGCAAAACAAAACTTAAGGTGCATGACAATGGTGACTTCTGGGTTCAGTGTCATGACCTCTCATACTTATGTCCAGACTTTAGCATCCACTCATGACAACTGCTGACTGTCTGTTGTGGTACTGACACTCCAGGTGTGGACTGCACAGATGTGCCAGGGGAATTAAATACCCCCAGACCAACAGCACTAAACATTGTTATCCTCCCCACACATTAGCAGAAACCTTTCTCAGAGGGTAAATTCCCTGCAGCTGGCAATGATACTGATGAGAGCAGTGACCGTGTACCAAAGCTGTTCGCAGACCATAGAAGTCAGGTGATAATTCATTGTTTCAGTCAGTGTTAATATAAAAAAACCTAAATAAATAAACAGTCAGTAACTGCTTGCCCTCGGCGGCTGTGGCTTAGGAGGTAGAGCAGGTCGTTGAACCTCCGGTTGCTCCCGGTAATATCAAAGGTGTGTGAGTGTTTGGGAGTGTGACTAGGTGAATGGGTAAACAGTGTGAAAGAGCTCTGAGTGTGCTGCAATGCATAGAAAAGCACTATACAAGTATAAGACCATTTACATTAGCTAAATCTACAGTCAAGTATAAAAAGGTGGAAATAACCATAAAATAATATTAGCAGCTTGTGCAGCATCAGCCACTGTATCTGCTACTTCTAGCCTACAGTACATGATTGCACCGATTCACTGCTGTAATGCAATGCTCTTGACCGTTTTGGCTGACACATTTTTTTCCACATGAAATGTTGTGCAATACACTTAACGACTCACATCATTAAAATGATAAATTGAAGACACTCAGACATCTGGTGCTATTGAAACACCAACTTTTAAGAGACAGCGTTGAAAATAAATTGACCAGAACCTTTGTTCTGTGTGTTCATTTATCATTTGGGTGTTTTTAGGTTTTCATGTAATATCACCTTTTATCATCTGATTAGAAACGGCCTGAAACGTGTTGCCAAAATAAATAAGAGTAGCAAGTATTTAATTAAATAGATGACCAACTGAGTATAGATACAGCTATTAGGTTAGTCGCTGAAATCAATTTATTCATTTATACAGGCCAATTTGGTGAAGACATACTGCTATGATGGCACACAACGTGTCGCACACTGGGCCGTGCTTCAACAGGTTGCATCATTTGGAAAGTGTTTATTACTCCTAATGTCATGATGACAAACAGACGCATTAAATTGGAAAGGACTGAGGAGCATTATCTACCTGATAATACACTATGATCTCATACAGAGGGACAAGTACAGTGTTGGGTGAGCTCCTGAAATAATGTTTTTACATCGTAGAAACACAGAATTGGGAGATTTAAATATATGCTTCAGTTGAAATCCCACTTAACTGATTTATGTCTCAGCAGTAATCACAATAAGAGAAACCATGCTCCAGATATGTGATAGTTTATTTTGTTCTTTTATTGTTTTCCTGCTTTTCCCCTGTGTTATTTGTGTTCTGGATCACATTCCTCATAATAAACACATTATTCAAACAGTCAGTGGCAGAATTCCCATCAGATGGTTTTCAGTGATTTTTCTTCTACCTTGATCTGGGAGATATTAAAGAACAAAGAACAAAACTTTGCCAGTAAATCTACTTTCATAGCCACAAGTATTCACAATCGTGCAGTGAATTTAAACAAACCAGTGCCACTGTTTTGTTGGTAGATTGCAGTGGGATTACATTGCTTTGCTGTGTAGAGGATACGCGGTTTTTGGTAGTTGAGCCCTGAGAGTAATGACAGAAGCAAAACCTGAGCTAGATTTCACTTGAAGCCACATAGATGTTGTTGTGACAGAACAGCGAGGATACAGATGAATCCCACCAGTCACTAACTGATCTGTGGGGCTTAACTTAAGGACAGTCATGCGTGCTGGTGCAAAATTACAATGCAGGCTCATTGTATGGTAGCATTCATTTTCAAGTTCGGACCACAGAGTTAAGGGGGGAAGCATTTTTATCCAGGCAGTGCCCTCCACTCCCTGAGTTATACATGAAAACAAAGAGGAGTTTGGCTGTTATTCTTTATATAAAACCACAAAGAGAGCTAGCACACCCTTCCAATAAAAATGTTCTCCAGTTTGACCACAGTGATTTATAAAATAAAATCTGCATCTCAGATTCTTGTTTAATGAGTCTTGGTTTGGAGTCCTGCTGGAGCATGGGTCTGGGCGACTCTGTGAATGCCTGTGTAATGCTGGTTTGTGAACTAGCAGCTGGCCACGATTGATCATCAGCCAAAAACTGCCATGAATGAAAGAACTGGTGACGGGATTGAGGAGATAGAGCAACACAAATAGTCTGTGTCAGCATGAGTAAATCTTTTTTTGCTGGTGACAGCTTAACCAAAGGATTAATTGATTTAATGTTTGTTGGCTGATCATCTGAACACGTTACTGTACTTTAAGCCTACTTGGTAAAATTCATTTGCTAAGGATTCCTGACTGGCTGTGGGAATGTTTCTTGCTACCTTTTGGGGAATCAGCAATATTAAAAAAACATATATCCTTATTTTGAAATACTCTTCCATTAAGACTTGTTCCTGGCTGCTTCAAAAAACAAGCAGGAATCCATATTTCAAATTCTATGTCTTCATCCTGTGTTGCTGATAATTACTGTGACTATATTAATCAAAAGGCATCTTTACTGCCAGTGTAAACTCACCCCTGATGTTTATGGAAATAATTTTTCACCAGTTGTCTGCATTTGACAACTCATGTTTCATGTACACACATGCATTCCAGCCTCTTTAATTAAACTTCAGCTATGAAAAATGGCTGACTTTGAGGTGAGGGAATGGGTGTCATAGGGCCAAAGCACCAGTTTGCCAGATCCCAGCTGTGAATCAGCCATGTACAGTATGCTGTTATCCATCACTTGATCGGGATGGCACGGCAAATTGGTCATGGTGCCAAGTTGTTCCAGAGGTCAGCTATGGTACTGCAGCCCAAAAAGCGTTTTTCTCAGAGCCACTATTAGTCTGTATGCGTGATAAACAAGGTTATTAAACATTGAAGACTAAAATGAATAGGCTGACATTTTGGGAAGCATGCCTATTAGCTTTGTTGAAGTCAGTTAGATCAGAAGATTGATATCATCTCTTTAGTGTCTTGAAACAAGGGGGAAGCAGCTAGCCTGGCTTTGCCCAGAGAAACCAAAACTCTACCTGCCAGCTTCTCTAAATCCAACAAATTAACAATTAAACAATCTAGATTTCCTATTTATTAGTGAGTCTTATAGCTGCTGGTAGGCATATTTTTTAACTCTTGTACAGAGACAGGTTATCTATTTCCCCTTGATGCCATTCATTATGCTAAGCTAAGCTAACCACCTGCTGGATCCATCTTCTTATTAAACGGACAGATAAAAAACTGATATCAGTCTTTAATGTAAATCTTGGCAAGTGAAATATATTTCCTTAGATGGGCAGGATGAGAGAAGACTTTGGTGTTTGCACTGAAATGAATGGGTGGCATCTTTGGCTATGCTCTTGTAATATATCAGTGTAGAGCTGAAACTGTTAATTGATTATGTGATTAACAGAAAATTAGTCAGCAACAGATCATTCAGATCAATGAAGAGACAGAATGTTAACCTGAAGGTTGGCTTTATTCTTCTTATGTCATGCAGATCTACAGGTAGCAAGTATTCACACGTTTTAGTGAGATGATGAATCTGAAAAAGTGTGTTTTCTGGTATTTGTATTTCTGTGCTGGGTGACAACTGTATTTTATGATGGCAAGATTAAAATATAGAGAAGGGTTGAATATAAAACAAATATAAAAAAAAGACTATATTGACAGATATTATTTGGATTATAAAACAAGTTGGTGTTTGCATTTCTGAGGGTGGGGGTGCTTGCTGCACAGGCTCTGTGAGTGATGTTTTTATAATCCATATGCTCTCTAATACCCTGAACAACATCATATTTGGGATTGTCTCTCCAGTGGAAAAAGTCTAGCTCAGCCAGAAATGTAGCGTCTGTTTCCTGTTTGGCTGATGTTGTAGAAATACTGTAAAGGTTCCTCATGAGAAACGATGTTCCTACTTATCGTTATTATTTGTATAATAGAGGCTTTGTAAGGCTTTAACAATGAGTCATTCCAGTTAGTTCGTCATTTGTCAAAAATCACAAGCTCACTCTTTTCCTTGAGGCCTTCTGCTTTCTGCACGGTATGGTTTATACAGTGTAGGGTAAGCAGTTAGTGTCTGATTCTTCCATTTGACACCAGTGGCTGTGTCTTTTTATAGCCAACTACAAATAGTTTTGATTCTTAAGGCAGATTTAATGTGCTTATACCCAAGCCACTGCCTTTTACATCAGATAGGTCAACACTGCAGCGTGCAAAAGAAGTACTTCATATCTGTATACACTCCCTCAGGTTCCGCTTAAATGTTTGTCATTGAAATTAATCACTTGTGTGTCTTGGTGTACACTTACTACACACTGTATGGCGTGATTAAATGAGATCAAATTAAGTCATTTTTGACATGCGAGAGGAGTCTGAAACTGTGAGAAAATATATGACACTGTTTTTGAGGGTGCTGTCATTACTAGTACCACATGTTGCTTCATGTATTTCTTCTTCTTCTTTTTCAGGTGCTGGGGAATCTGGGAAAAGCACAATTGTAAAGCAGATGAAGTAAGATACGGCTTGTAACACTGTCCTGATAACAGTGCACATGACGATATAATATATCAAACTCTTACATCCTGTAGGATGCTATTTTTGTATTTTGTTGACAAGCTCACTCCCTCCTTCCCAGCTTCAGCTGCAACCTTATTGTTAAAGGTTAATAGTGTTGGGAGTGCTGTGTTCATCTTAGTGGAAATGTTGTAGAAGCAGTCGTATTTTGCTGTGCTCAGGCAGAGGAAGAAGCACCTTTTTTCAAAACATGTTAAACAATGGCCACAAAGGCCAGTCATAGCCTGGCAGAACCTGAATAGATTTTCCTGGTTCCCACATTAGGCATGCTGCATGCTTATTGAAGCTCAAATACCAACAATAGTGACAGTGTTGCATGATTTTTTAAAATCTGTAATTTGTCTTACTGTTATCGAAACCATTGTTCACACTGTCAAATATTTACCTGGACTCTGAAAGCCTATTTGGATTTTGTGTTTGTGTCAGAATCATTCATGACGATGGCTACTCAGAAGACGAGTGCAAGCAGTACAAAGTGGTAGTGTACAGCAACACCATCCAGTCCATCATGGCCATCATCAGGGCAATGGGCCGGTTAAAGATAGATTTTGGGGATCCTACACGGGCGGTAAGATAGTTACACTCAGTCTATTGTATATTAAGCTGCATCCTCCTTCATGATGTGAAGCAACACAGGAACAATGTTTTTATTGTCTTTGGTGCCAGGATGATGCCCGTCAGCTATTTGTCCTGGCAAGCTCAGCGGAGGAAGGGGTCATGTCAGCAGAGCTGGCTGGTGTGATGCAAAGGCTGTGGAACGATGGTGGAGTTCAGACATGCTTCAATCGATCACGAGAGTATCAGCTTAATGACTCTGCTGCATAGTAAGGGCCTACTTCTCTACATACGGATGCCCACAGACCAGTTGCTAACTACAAAGTTGTTTGTGGTTGCACAAAATCTAATAAGAAGCCTTAAGTGATGTCACTTGAGTCAACATCAGTTGGGAATAAAGCATAGGGTGAATAGAAAAATGAGCTACATGTCATTAGTTCCTGCCACTTTGCAAAAGTGAAGCCAAAATATCAGCACTACAGGGGTGGCCATATTGCTTTTGTGATGCATTTTAAAACCAGATTCTGCACAAAAGTGACCAGAGATGGAGCCGCAGTATCAGTCCACCAATCATAGCTGTCAAATCATCTGAAATACATTTATCTCATCAAAAACAAAGTTATCAGAAAAATGACCTCGTGTACAGAAAACAGTGTGACCTACCTAAAATTTAGTATTTCATTTGTGCTTTAAATTTTGTCCCACCTGCTAACATGGAGGGATGGAGGGGCCAGGGTTTATGACCTATACTGCAACCAGCCATCTGGGGGTGACTGACTGGTGGCTTTACAGTACTTCTGGGAGCTGTCATACCATTATATACAGTCTATAGGAATCAAGACTAGTTTGAAAATGAAAAAACCTGGGGATGTGGAGTTAGAAAGAAACGCGTTTATCTGACCTCTGTAGAGATTTCCTCATTTCACTGAAGCTAGCGGCTCCAGACTACATTATATACTACTAGCATAACACACCTGTGGGTAATGCAGACACCGCATTCTGGCAAAAAAGAACAATGCTCTCCCAATTTGATTTTTGTTTTGTTTTGCTTTGTGCACCTTGAGTCACATCATGTTGTAGGAATGCAATGCTAAATCAGTGGAATAGCCTACTGTTAATAGGTTTAGCAATCTCTGAGTGTCATTTTCTTGATACTACACAGCTAATTAACACTTTCTAAAAAGTCCAGATGGAAGCGAAACTGCTTCTACAATGATGTTTGAAAGTGCAACACTTAGCTTCAAGCCATTACTCTTAAATTAGCATTAGTCATTTCTTATATAATCATGTTTTCTTCAAGGATGGTGACAAATTTGAATCAGTTTTTCTCCTCTGTGTCTGCATTATTTCACCTAGAACAAAAAGGGAGGCAAGATATGTCTTGTTCTTCACAATGCAGTGTCAGCTTGTGTAACAGCTTGCATTCCTAAAAAGGAGAAACATGAGGGAGAACTGGAAACAGCTTCTGCTTATTTATAACTGTAATATACTATAAATGTCACTATATTTGACAAAATGCTTTGAGTTTGTTATGACAGTCAACACTAAATGAAAACATTTGATAAGGTTAAGTGAAAAATTAAAACAAAGTGATTAAAGCTATATATTATATAGTCCAGTCTTGAGTTACCACTGGATAAAGTGCAAGGTTTTTTCTTTCTGTAGCAACTATATCACATTCACACCTGAAAGAAACTGCTATGGCTTTTGGTGTACTTTGTCCATAAAGAAGAGGGACGGTGGGGTTAGTCTGTTTTCCCTCAATCCACAAGAACAAGTGTTTATCATCCACCAAAATATGAGCCCATATTTAGTATCATTCTGAGGAGCCCTCGGATGCCTGTCTGGCCTGTCTGCAGAACAAGTCCCCCACTTCATCAGACATATGTGTCCAAGAAAAATGTCGTTGTCTTTCATTATTTTGTCTTTTTTTTTTTTTTTACTAAAAGTCCAGAAGGTGTTTGGATAATTTTACCTATCTCCATTACAGATACTAGTTTGTGTTATCTGCAAGTTGTATTGCAGTGTGTGCCCTGATGTTATCTTCATACCTTTTCTGTCTCTCAGCTACCTGAGTGACTTGGAACGGCTCTGCCAGCCGAACTACGTCCCAACTCAGCAGGATGTATTGCGTACACGTGTGAAGACCACTGGCATCGTGGAAACTCACTTCACCTTCAAAAATCTCTATTTCAAGTTAGTAATTTATGTGCTCAGGAAAGGTGGGCTGTTTGTGGTATTAAAAATAATGTAATAGGCTTTACAGGCAGTTAGGGCCTGAACTGGTTCACTGTATTGGTCAGTATTTAGAGTAGATGTCCTCACTGTAGACTTAACACAGTGATTCCCAAGACTTTTCTCCAGTCTTTACTGTTTGTTTTGTTCTTTTGAAATACTGGATAGTGTTACTGTACCTCATTAAGTGCACGGTGTGGTGAGAGGGTGCAAAAGTATTGAGGGGTCACATAAAAAGTTTTGAATCATTATATAACATAAACGCTTACTTTTATCAATGTTGAAAAGGATTTGGTTACCATTGCTGTTAACAGCTGATCATTACAGTTGTAGACTAAATATATTAACCCTCTCAGTTCTCTTCATACTGTATATTGTGTCCATATCCATGCTGGGATCAAATCTAGACAATATTCCTGTTATCTTATTGAATATATTTGCAGTGTTTCTGACTGGTGCGATTGCATTTTGGTCATGTTGCAGTATAAATCCTGATTACCAAACCTCTTTTAAAACTCACCAGTGCTGCTTACCAGCATTCAACTTAATATGACTCACCCTTGTGGCAGTTGATGTAATTATATTGCTTCAGTCATTTTACATTATTTTGTAAGGCTCATGTGCTTATAAATATTGGTAAAACATTAACTCTAATAACCTCCTTGGGCTTCCTTTATAATCCCATAAAACAAGCTCATGACCTGGAAATGTGTAATCGCTGAAATGGTGTTGAAGCACACAGTGTTCTTTCATTTCATTTCTGTGTCAGTTAAACAGCTCACTATAGTCAGTTTGCATTTTCAGGTGGAAACAGAGGCAGCAGAGACAAACATGAGATTACAGTGTGTTTATGGTTGTGCTCTGGATTTAAGAGGGTGTTCATCCTCGTAAAACACTAACATGGAAATTACATGAAAATTAAAATGAGTACATTTATTTATGCAGTTGCTGTGTCTCGGTGTGTGTCCTCAGGATGTTTGATGTCGGGGGTCAGCGCTCAGAGAGGAAGAAATGGATTCACTGTTTCGAGGGAGTCACTGCTATCATTTTCTGTGTAGCGCTCAGTGACTACGACTTGGTCTTGGCTGAGGATGAGGAGATGGTAAATGATGCTCCACTGTGGCTTTGTATATGAAGCTGATACTGAATTCTGTTTATTGAAACGCACTGAGATTGGCACACAGCAGAAGAATGGCAGGTGTTAACAACAACAGTAATGATGACCCTGCTCTATTAAAGTGCCACAGTAGACCATAGCAGTGGTCTGAATTTCAATATATTTCCCCATCCCTACTAAACAGCACTGTGCTTGTCAGGTTTTGCAGTGCACCAAGACCCTGACACCAAAGCAGCAGAAATAGAATTCATCTATCTATAATTTGATTACTTACATCTGTGGATTTCCAACTGTGAAAATGCCAAAATGTCTGCTGTGAAAAAGGTGTGTTATATGTAAAGTCACATCTGCTTTTCCTCAGAATCGGATGCATGAGAGCATGAAGCTTTTTGACTCTATCTGCAACAACAAGTGGTTCACACTCACCTCCATCATCCTCTTCCTCAACAAGAAGGACTTGTTTGAAGAGAAGATCGAGAGGAGTCTGCTCACTATCTGCTACCCTGAATACTCTGGTGAGACAGACTTCCATTTTAAAATTTTTAAAGTTTTATGTGGCCGGCTTTAATGTAGTTGCTTCTGGAGTGTTTTGATCAGAGGAAATTATTTATTTTTTTATCTGATCTTTCTGAGCATTGGCTTTCTGGTAGTGTGTTATCATGCTTTTGATTTACGTTACATAGGATTTAGTCTCTGCAGCAGAAGACAGTTTTGAGGTTGTGGTGTAAGTTGAATAAGTTTTAGATATAAAACCTCCCTTTATTGTGTGCATGCTAGTGACAGTTTTACCCACTGGACCAAGGCTTTGTGTTTTCCTGTAGCTGTTTTATGACATGTGAACTTCATTATGCACTAAAATGTCTGCAGTACTAAAATAGTCTTCATGTCTATGATGGATGTATGTCTATTCATAAATCTGCACACACACACACACACACACACAGAGAACTGAACTAGGTGTTCCCCTAGGTGTTTTTTTTACACTTTTGATTTTTAAAAAAAGGCAGTAAGTGTCTCAAAGTAAAAAGAACAAAATCCTGCATTAACAAAAAACAAACAAACCTATTTATAAATGTGCACAACCAAGATGTGATTCACTGGCAGAAAACATTTGCTTTTATAAGGCCTGTTGTTCATTTGTAGCAGCAGATTAACCTACTACATTTAACTTTGTTTCACTTAGTGTGTTTAACCCAAAATGGAATAAGTAAAATTGTTTTGTGAATTTTGTGTTTTTACTGTAGGTGGGCAGTCATATGAAGAGGCAGCAGCTTATATCCAGTGTCAGTTTGAAGACTTAAATAAACGAAAGGACATCAAGGAGATCTACACTCACTTTACTTGTGCCACAGACACCAAGAATGTGCAGTTTGTGTTTGATGCAGTCACCGATGTCATCATCAAGATCAACCTGAGGGAGATCGGGCTCTACTAAAGCTCCAGGCACTGCAGGTCAGCACACTGACGGTTATATCAGAGAACTGAAGAGATGTAGTAACATGGTGTTGTTGTTAAAGCTAAAAGTTCAAAATGTTAGACTGTTGCATCATCACAGAGATAAGAGTCGAGTGTCTTAAGTGGTTTACTGTCAGTGATCCAGAGTGCGCGTACGTGATGATGCCTTAAAATAACAGTATGATATTGCAGGGTAGTTTTGTAATATTGATATGATAACATATGGAAACACACTTTGTTATTAACTGCAGCAACAGACAAACTGATAGACTATCTAAAATTGATTAGACCTTGATTCTACCACATCTATACTACCACAGTTGTTCCTTTTTTGGAACAAAATCCTCAGCAACACAGCTATGTTCAGCCATGACTGTTTGTGCTGTGTTTGTCATGATATGACAGATTTATTTTACATTAAAAATTGTATTGATCACCATCATTTATATCACAAGGCACACCCCTACTCTAGTATGAAATAGCTCAGTGACTGTTGGAATAATTGAAGTGAAATTTGGTCAAGTCAAGGCCCATAGAAAACCAGTCCTATTGACTTTGGTTATCACCTGACTTTTCATGCAACATCACCAATGTGTTAACTTTGCCTCAGTTTATGACAGGATACCTCAGAAACTTTGTAACTGCACATTTACTGGTCAAATTATTGGTTCTGATTTTCTCAAAACTTTAGAACTATAAAGTTAAAATGCAGATTACATAAACTGATAGGTGGTAAAATATTACAACTAAACACAATCTACATTCATATAAGATGAAAAACTGGCAGGTTGGCCAAACCATAAGGGTCAGAACAAAATCACATCAAATTAATAATCAATTCCATGAAGACTGTGTAAAATAGCCGAAAGCAAACGGAAAGGCTAGTAAGTAGACATTGAGTCGGGATGATTATTTTATTGAAATACTAGGCTATTTCCAAGGTAGAAACTTTGATGCATAAGCTACAGTAGGCCTGTATAACCTTTAGCTAAATCAAGCAAAATAGAATGCTTTTATTGTGTGAATAAAGATGGCCGTAAATAGTTTTAAAGGAAAATGTATTTTTTGTTAGCAAGCGAACATGCGCAGCACAACTTTATATGCCAAACATTAGCATATTAAGGGATGGGAGTTTTAGCACGTTAACGTTAGCATGCAAATATCTAACGCTAATGGTACAGGTGAAACAGGTGTGACGTTAGTTATATTTCCATGCTAACTGCGTGCATGAACGCATTAACACGCATTTGCATTCAGCTCAAAGCCAAGATAAAAATAACACCACAGTTCTGACACTGTGGAGCTGGGCCTAGCGAAATGAGTATGAAAGTGGCTACTGTAAGACTAGCTGTTTCACTTTTACCCTGGAAGTGAAAAGAAACTAGAAAAGCAGTTTTCCCATTAGATTTTTTTCCCCCAGCTGCAGGTGCATAATGGAAATGTTTGTAGAATGACTTTGTTTTTAGATGTATTTCATGATTTGTCATTCCAATTACATTTTAAGGGCATCATGACAGGTTAATGATTTTCCTTTTCCCTGCAGGTGCCAGGAGAGGATTCAGGACCTTGTTGCCACTATGCCTTGTCTGCAGAAGGTGAATTGGAAAGTAGATGTTACTAAGGACTGCGCTGGTGGCTGTGCTGCGAGCAGAACCTAAATTCCATAATTTGGGAACTTGATGCTATGATTACTTTTGTCTTAATAGATGTTACAATGCAGAGCATATGGGAAGGAAGTGACAAGTTGAGGAGGCTTGCAGAATTGTCACTGTGAGTTCATGTGGAGTCCTATCATATTTAAGATATTTGCATCACAGAGGGTCTGACACAGAAAGCCCCTTCTCATACCTGTGACACATTTATGGTTTGTCTCACCAGAACCTTTTTTGGACCCCCTGTTTCTAAAATTCGCTGCTGCATTTCACAGTTTCACAGCTGATATGTAAAATTCCTTTTCTTTTTAATGTTGCACCCTCGCTTAGCTGCAAATCTGTATCACATAGCTTTTATTGAATATTTGCCTTTGGTATATTTTAATTATATATAGTGTTTCCATTTTTGAATGTGTGAATGCCATAACTTATGTATGATAAGGCATCTTGTGTGAGTAGTTTTAATGTATATAATGTAATGTTGGGTCTGGGATTAGTTAGCATGAGTAATGAGATCGGTAGCAATATTGCTGTCTACATAGTTACTTTAATGTCAACTAGACCACATTGTATTCAATTTTTTTTTTTATACTTGAGACACATCACTGCATATCAGTTTTAATACATGCCTAATATTCATTCAGTTGAGGCCAATATACAGTTTATTCTTTTTTTTTTAATGAAGAAATATCAACACAACACAGTATTTGGAATAGATCGGTATAACCAGAGGCTGTTCTCTGGTTGTCGCCCTCACAATTCTGATGAAGAAGTGGCTGATACTCATTTTTTTAGTTTATGAGGTGTACCTAGGTAAAAATTAATGCAGTCTAATATAACAATGTCGAGTTTTTGTTGAAGTTGTTTAGAGAGGTTCAGCTGTTTGATCATTTTGGAGGCTAAAGTTTGTGGTACTGTTGAAAGGCATTGCATCATAATAGCTGTGGCTACATGGACAATATTTTTTCGTTCATGTTCTTAAATCTTACTAAGCTTACTATGACCTGGATGACTGAGAATCTGCACGGACAAATTAGAATATAACTTTTTTACATGCACAAAGTGGTTGTGGGTACTGGTGTTTAACTAATTTTACATTATTGGGAATTTTTACGCTCTTAGTTGTTCCAAAAATGTTTGCTGGCTGTTCATTTTAATTAGTTAATATTAGCTAGCAACACAGCTATTCTGTCATGTAATGTTACCCCCATAGGGGGCAAACATGCACAGAAAGGTTATATTTAATCCAACGAGAGAACTGTTTGGATCAAATGTTTATATGGCTAATATTTTTCTACTGAACTGATTATCAAAGTTTTACACCACCCCTCTCATCCCCATCAGAAGTTCTTTTCAGGTGGTTACAGATTGAGGTGGTTACATGATGCATTTTTATTCTACAGCAGAATCAGTATCTGCTTTATTGGCCAGGTGTGTCGGACACATGAGGAATTTGACTCTGGTACATCGGCTCTCAATGTGCATGTACATATCCCCATGCAAGGGGCAAGTAAATGGTAAACCAACATAAGGCTAATATAGCAAACTAAGCAGTAAAACCAGGCAGTAAACAATGCAGACAGCGATGCAGCACAAACTACTTTATGCAAAATGATCATATAGTTCTCTCTAAAACCTCTCTAAAACAGTGCCAACAAAAACTGAACATTGCCACCTTCATAAAGGCAGTATTTATTGTGGGACTGTTATATTAGCCTGTATTAGTTCTAGCTAGGCATAACCTAAGTAACTCCCAACTAGAGCACAGTTCAGGGTAGAGAAGTCTTGTTCTGCACAGAGATGTCCTGGTAGCCAGCTTTCCTGAAGTTTAAGAATTTATTGCTCACTTTAAGTTTATGCAGTTGTATTTTGTCATTATAACAATTAAATGATGGCACAAAGCTGCATGACCCTTTTCTGTTTTAAAAGAAAATAATTCCCATATCTTATCACAAGCAACACCAACCATTTTATTCACTGTGAAGCTTTATAAAGGCCTAGTCTTACGTTAACAGTGCAGGGAATCGAGGCCAAGCAAGTCGGAAACAGTACTTTTAGTCTCTGACACATCTGGATGATTGAGCTGAGGACCTGGTGTGTTCCATCTGCTACACATAGCGCAGCTCACCCATGTGTCTTAATTTTCTTATCTTGTATATAAAGTACTCTGGCACTCCATGCAAGTTTCTTAATGACATGAGTGACCACAAAATAAATTCAAACTAAAATCAATCTGCAAGTCAACATGAGAGCATGCAAGGACAGATGCTTATCTTACCAAAATCAACAGGTATAGTACATTAGTCACTCTTAATACTTTGAATTCTTTAGATTGTAGCAGTTATTCCCAAATTCATTAGTTCTTACTGAACATATAGGTCTTTAAATATAGCTCACAACTGTATATTATTTTTATTTTTGAAAAAGGTGGCTGGGTAAAAAAAAATCTCAAAACAGCACGATAATGTAGTTTCTAGTTTTTTACTCCAATAAGAGTACAAAGTGCATTTTGTTGGAGTTTTTTTTTTTTTTTTTTACAGTTGTGGTTTTGGTGAGCTAGTATTTACAGCTAGGCCAGTGTATGTGGGATTGAGTCAATTAACTCCAGTGCCCATGTTTGTTGGGAAAAAGCCAGTTGAAAGATTGAGGATCAGTGATGTGTTTCTAATAGCTTTTGGACAACAGTGGAGCTCTCTGGCCCAGAAGAACAAGAAAAACAGGCTTTTTCTATACAGGTAGTAGTATAGAAAATCTTGTCGATTTTTCTCTTTTCATGGAAGATGTTGGCAAGCAAAGGTAAAGATCAGACCATTTTCTCCATCTGTTTTGATAACCTTGTTGCTAAAAGACCTCAGCATTACATCACTTAACTCTGATGATCTGCTCTAAGAAGAAGCTTGATGTTACAGATGCTAGAAATGACATTTGACATCCAGGACTGATGCATTTTGTTCTACTTTGCTCTGACGTTTGCAGCATACCAAAGCTGAGAACATGTAACTTTAAATATGGGACTAAAATAACTCGCACACAAACGAGTCATAGCTCCTCTTCTCAACCCCAGACACTGTTTATACTGTTTTGTCCTGTCATGCAGTGAATCTTAAATTCCAGATTAATTATCACTTTAATTCGTTTTGCTCTCTCAATAGATTTATTGTTAATGAACTTCCATATGCTGTCATTTCCCTTCTGACTAGAACAGGGAACTTGTATAACTGCAGCACTGTCCCCAGGAAGTAAGAACCTGAGGCAATCGGTCAGTGTTGACAGCCCCGTTTTTCAAATTCGATACGCATTTTCAAAGAATGACTGTGTGAATCAGTGGCAAGAAAAGTAAACAGAAACAAGTGAATTAATGCATCTTTATTTCATGCTACTACATTTCATAAGAAAGGGCAAACTCTTTAGATTTTCCTTCATAATAAAGCATCATCCCTCTAGTTCTTCCCTCATATGTATAGATTTCTCTTTCAAAATATGAACGATCTAATTTTATGTACAAAGTTTCTCTACTATGTTTGGTCTTATGAAATGCATTCACATTAAAATGTTAAGTGATTTCAATACATTAACACTGTTTAGATTAGATACATGTATAGTTTAATTTGTAATCTGGATAGACTGTGCAAGCGCTGGGAGTGTGTAAATATTTACAGTGTAAATATCAAGACCACAGAGACTATTGTTCTCAAAGACAAAACAAGATTGCAATGTTGCTATTCAAAATATTATTTTCCACAATTTTTTATTGTCTTTATTAATTTTGCAGAACTTGGTCTTACTGATAATACAACACACACCATAGTAGTCAAAAGGTGGCAATGAGGGTCAAAGGAGATACAGTTTAATCTTCATACCTTCAAACCAGCAGCTTTCGGTGTTACATAAACTGTGTACTTTAGAAAAACTGAAGACTCTTGTAGAAAGCTGTATGTCCACAACAATGACGTAGTGACTTTGTAGTTGTTTCAATCCAGCTGGATGTGCACTGTGTTGCAGGGATGTGCTGTTGGAAATGGGGAGGTGTTAGGAGCGGTCAATGACCAGGACTTGCCATGGAAGCGATGACACGAACACAACAAACTGAGGATCCTCTGTGCTCCATCAGTACACTTCTCAGTTAATGCCAGTATGTGAAGGGTTAAGGTAGGAAACGAGGTTCTGCAACGTAGAGAAGAAGACAATCTCAAACATACTGAATCACCTGTATTCGTGCATAAATAATGTTACACTAATAGACAGTTTAACCTGCAGGTTGCCAGGTTCAGTATATTTCTAAAATAAAAAGTTAAATTATTCTGGAGCTTTGGGAGAACCTGATTTTAATCGCAAATCAGTTCAGGGATTTTTGTTTCTCGTTATCTTCCTGATCCTAAGCAGTCCCAAATGATCTAAATCATCTGTGTGGTTAGAGTTTGCGTTCACTCACAACGTGGCCAGGAGTTGTTGCTTGGCAACACAGGTTGGCCAGATATGATTCAGTATATGAGAGTTAAATTGAATTGCCAGGGGTCTGCATCATCTGGACCCTATTACGCTGTATCAACCAAGTCCCTGGGAGTGATGTGATGTGGTGTGGTCATTGCTCACCTCTTCTCTCTGGAGCTGCTTAGAACAGACCACAGTCTTTAAGGTTTTCTTTGATAATGATGTCTGTCACAGCGTTGAACACAATCTCAACATTCCTTGTATCTGTGGCACAGGTCATGTGGGAGTAGATTTCTTTCACACCTTTTTTCATGTTCAGGTCCAAGAACTGTGTCTTGATGTAGCCGCTGGCATCCTCGTATGTGTTTGAGCCTAAAAGAAATCAAGAGTGAGGATGAGAAGCAAAGTTTCATTAATTTTATTTTAAAGAAAAAAATAATCATTTAATCAATCATTCTGCATGTGCATCATTTTGTTAGTCAGCTGACATGACAATTTTAATATAATGACTTGTATCATAGTTTAATTAACAGAGTAACACTGAGGCTCCCACTCTGCAGTTTTAATCTGAAGATTAATTGATTGCTCAGTTTAGTCTTCATGTTGTCTGAACAGCTTTGGTCACAAGTGTATTTTAAGTTGTTGTTTTTGTCTGCATTACAGTGCAGTTTTTTGCTTTTCACACATTCTTATAGTCGACCTGGTTTCAAATGAAACAGAGCGTGGCTTGTCAGCAGCTGACCCTGATTCGCTCTCACTGAATCCTTGACAGATGTGCTCCCTACATCTAGCTAGGGCTGGAGTGTGTGTGCAGCAGGTGCAACTCCTGAATCAATAATGCAGTGTCAGATGGTCTCACCATCATATTCTGGGAAGCAAATGCTCAGATGGACCTTTTTGATCTTCTCTTCAAAGAGATCTTTCTTATTGAGGAAAAGCACAATGGAGGTCAGTGCGAAGAATCTGTGGTTGCAGATGCTGTTGAATAGATGGAGAGACTCGTGCATGCGGTTCTGTAAGGGTCAAAAAAGAATAGGTTGAGTCACGCCTTTCTTCAAATGCCTCATTATCAGATAGTTGGGTCCCAACTCACCACTTCTTCATCCTCTACAAGCACCATGTCGTATGCACTGAGAGCTCCACAAAAGATGATACAGGTCACACCCTCAAAACAATGGATCCACTTCTTTCTTTCTGACCTCTGACCTCCCACGTCAAACATCCTATTCACCACAGAAAGCCAGATCAAAGTCAGTCAGACAACATCTCCTGGGTCTTCTTCAAAGTGCAGGCTTTTGTTCAAGCCAAGTCAGGTGAGCTTGCTACTCACCTGAAGTGCAACTCTTTGCAGGAGAACTGTTCTTCAATGATACCAGTTGTTTTGACTCGAGATCGCAGCACATCCTGCTCAGTGGGGAGATAGTCTGGCTTGCAGATTCTGTCCATTTCATTGAGATAACTGGTGATGGCAGAACAAACAGGACAGCAGACAAGCTTCAGATATGAAATCCTCTTTATCTGTAAACAAAAGTTAGCTGCCTTGTTAGTTTACATCTAATGGCACTATTGTATCGGTTCTGGTTGTACACAGGGACTCACTAGCCAGCAGAGTCATTCAGTTGGTACTCAGCAGCTCTTTCATAGCCATTCTGCACACCGGGGTCTTTCCACAATTTCTTGATGACATCAGCCAGCTCAGGAGGCATTGTGCCTTCCTCAATGGAGTCTGACAAGTTTTGCAGCTTCTGTGCATCCTCCTGTGGTTTAATGCATACACAACAAAGATCCATCAGTACCAGGATAGTACTTGTACTATTTATAGTATAGTTTTATGTCAGTGAATATTAACTTGAAAATTTAATTATGTCTGGTGTTCAGTTAAGTGTAATATGAGACCTGTGCAGAGGGTGAGCCAAAATCAATGCCCAGCATCTCCATGCCTCTGATGATAGCCAGAGCAGACTGCAGGATGTTGCCAAAGATGATTGTTTTAAATGCCATTTGTTCCTCTTTTGTGTAACCACCTTGATGCAGAATCCTGTGCACAAGTAGAAAAGGAGAGGTTAGTGTTAGGGCTATATAAATGGTTCTGGAAATAGTGTCAACTTTCAGTAAAATAGAAAACTTAGAATATGGCACTGTACAGGCCTAGTTAGGTTTTGTCTACATATAAAAAGTCCAGTTCTACTGGAGCTAGTGCTCACAGCACCACCCTGTGGTGTGTTTCTGTCCTCACTGTACTCTCACTGTCAGCCTAACATAGTCTACAAAACAAGCGCTGATAAATCAGAATAAGTGGATGTTTGCCCTGTTGACCTTTTGTAAAAGGATTCATGGCAAGTGAAACAGGCAGAGACGAGGCAGCATCGGCCTGGGGTCTGTATGTCTGATCAGTGAGAGTACATGAACTGTGATCTATCACCACTGAGCTGATGTGTAAAACACAAAAAATATGGTTTACTACTCCTCTTTATACTTACTTCATTTGTTTTACAATTGTGCTTTTCCCTGACTCACCAGCCCCTGGAAGAGAAGACAAGGTTCAGCACAAACATCATGATTGCTGTGTTTCTCTCTGGCATGCCACTGAGTAGAAACAGTAGTTATAAATGGCTAAAGCATGTGCTCTGATACTGCACTCAGTTTAAAGGGGAATTCTTGATATTTGCTTTCAACCACAGGAAAACAAAACTCAATCACATGTGGTTTGTGCAAATAAAAAGGACAAAGATTTACTGGAGAGCAACTACTTACGGGAGAACAACTCAACATTAGCATCTCTTTATGGAAATCATGAGAAGGCTGTTTGAAAAAATCCATCATGTAGAATTTCACAGACAGCTCTCCGTGCAAATGAACATGTGTCAGCATTACACCATTATTAGAGTTACCTAATTTCTTGCCCTGGCCAAATGTCAGTATGTATACAATATGACATGTGCCAAAGAACTACAAAATCTGCAATTATACAACATCAAGAGAGACACAATAGCATGCATAGGACAGCAGACAGCAAAATATTCACAGAACTGTGAAGCATGTAACAGACAGCAGCAGGTACAGTCAGGAGAAATGCATTAGAAGATAGGAAGCAAAAAATAGAACGACGTAGTGCTGACTGTGGTTGCAGATGGGACAGATTCAGTGTTTATAAGCCACAGTTTCAGCTGGTTTGTGAAATTATGGTTATCACGAAGATTTTTAAGGAACAGTTCTTATTAATAAAATGATCACTATATATACATAATGTAGATCAGATCAGACTCTCTGCTGCAATGTAAACTAGCTCAGGCCTGAAGGAATTTAACACGTCACGGAACAGTCAAAGCTGCCTGTCCTGCTCTCACGGGGCCACATTAAGCTTCATCCACAGACTTACTGCTGAATGTTTACAGACCGAAAGACCTCACACGTGGCGTCATTCTACCTTCACAGGGAGGAACTGTTGGCTTTTCCCTGCTAAAAGTCGTTATTAATTCAGTAACAAATTTGTTTTGCTAATTTGTAACAATAACCAGTATTTAAAGTGACTTACAACGGTACTGTGAAACTCAAGGAGAAATGTAAATCTGTGAAAATAGAATTTAAGTTCTTTCCATTTGTGACATGCAAACAGTGGGAATATATTCTTTGAAGCATGTCATATTTAAAGTGACTTACAATGGTACTGTGAAACTCAAGGAGAAATGAAAATCTGTGAAAATAGAATTTAAATTCTTTCCATTTGTGACATGCAAAGAGTGGGAATATATTCTTTGAAGCATGTCAGCTAATGCAATGAGAATGTCTGAAGACTGCATTTGTTTTTGAGTTCTAATTGCTCAAACATCACTGAGGGGGAAAGACTTGTAGGGTAGCAGTTTTACACATCCCTAGTAACTGACTACACTTATTCTTTGGTACATTCTTCACTGCTAAAGCCATTTCTATGTATTCAGGAGGTGGCAAAGCTTATTAAGAGATGTTGAAGTTTATTTCACTGGTTGTCACACCTGCACACAAGGGGGTGTGACAACCAGTGAAGCTGAATCTATTTGTTTATCATTGTCTCCTTGATTTTCATTGCAATGTCCAATGGTGTACTGATCCCATGAAATGTAGGATTGGAAATAAAAAGCAAGATAAGACACTGTTGTCTGTGGTAGCAGACAAGACAGATTTAATATATGCATTGACAAAACATTGTACTTTATGAGTAAATTGAGGGATGAACAAAGACCTCACCAAGTGGATCTGCACTAAACCGGTTAGTTAATCAGATTACCATTTCACTGCTGTGCTGTGATTTGTTTAGACCAAAGGCTATGATCTTTTAAGCTCCGGCGCCCTTCCATTAGAATTGAAAAGTCACTGTTAACCAGTGTTTAGTTTTAGTGTAATTTCAGATGAGGTAAACTATTGCTTTACTATTCTAGACTGTAGATACATTTTTTTATAAGAGCATCCCTTCATCACAGATTTTACTCCCTTTAAAAAGTCCTCTCATCTTTTTAATGAAGGTTTTATCCTGTAGAGTCTGTAAATCCTCTTGAGTATACCACATCTTACATCTAACTGAAGAGTGAGCAGATGTGCCAGAGAACTTTACCACCACCTCAGGTGGCTCATATCCAAGTAAGAAATGTGCAGAAAGTGGGTCTGTAAACCCAGTGAGACATCATCATTACCTGGTGATTACAGGGTTATTAACATATCCATTTTGGTAATGATCTGTAACAAATGAACTCTCATCATCTTGAAAATTAGGACCAAGTGTTTACCTTTCAAGGATCAATGAATGCTGACTGAAACTTTTTCCCAGCATTTTATTTTATCCTTCAGTTGCACCTGTTGACTGTTGGCTGACTGCAAGGTTTCTGTGCTACTTTGTAGACCTGAACCTCCACAGAAGATTTCCTTTAGTCAGAGATGAAAGTCAAAAAATGATTTGTAAATGCAAAATTTTTGAAGCTAAAACTTGTCGGTTAGTGCACTTTGCATCACCTGCAGGCTGGGACAAAAAAGAAAACTTGGTGTAGAAAGACTTTTCATGTGTCCACTTACCAAGCAGTAATAGCTTGACAGTTTTAGCGTCCTTATCAGCATCTTCTTGGAGTTGTTTTTCCAGCTCTTTGGACTTTTTGTCCTCAGCACTTGCTCCTGCACCCATGCTTTCTTCCTCCGCAAACTCAAGATCCTCACGGATGGAAATTTTGACAGTTCTCTGTGAGCAGCTGCAGAGAATCTGGGTGCAGCACTAATCGTGCTGAAAGGCGTTTTCAGAGTGGAAGGGGATTGGGAGGGAGGTGCTTGAACCTTCCTGGCCTCTTTCGATTAGATTTTCAGATGCTACCCTCTCAAGGATCACACCACCTCAGCATCTCTGTAGAGCTGTGATGCAGCGCTTAATTCCTTTTGGTTAAACCCCTGACCTAGGAGGTGCCTCTTCCTGATTGGCCAGTCAATCCAATTAGTCTAATAAGGACAAAAGTGAATGATTCATAGAAAAAATAAACACACTGACATACTTGGACACAGTGAGAGTCATTGAAATCAACATTTTTTTTCCATCTGGGATTAATTGATGTAGTTTGGGTGTGTCTGCATACAGTAACACAAAATGTGTGTACATTATGCGTTTATTAGTATGTATATGTACATACAGATGATATGCATCACACTTACACTGGGAAAACAGTACATACTGTATTTCCTGCCCTGTAATGTACACTTAGTTGGCAGTTTATTAGGTACACCTAGCTAAAACTAATGTAGTCTAATACAACAGTCATGCAATAATTCTCCCTTCACCATGGTGATACTGTTCAATTTTTGTTGAAACAGTTTGAGAGATGTTGATTCAACAGTATGGTCAGTAAATTGTTGTATTATATTATAGGTGTTTCTATTATTCTGTTCACCCTGTTTATATCAATGAGAGTAGGCTAAATAATACAAAACAGCTCTCTCTGTTATGCAGCACAAACTACATCCTCCAAAATGACCATAAACTGAATCAACAGCGCTCTGACACATTGAACATTATCACCTTCATGAAGGGAGAATTTAGTGCAGGACTGTCATATTAGACCATTAGTTTCAACTGTGTGTACCTAACAAACTGACAACTAAGTGAGGATAGCTATATTAAAACATTTTAAACTAGACAAAAATCTGCCTGGGATCAAAACTTTATACATTTCAATACATTGAGTGGTTTGGAGGGGGTGCTCTTTTTATCCATAATGTATTTTTTTTTGCCTGTTTGGACTCTTGACTTCAGTGTCCATCACACGGATGAAGCAGAGAGGGAGGCATTAAGGTTTCATAAACTACTTATAGTTAAGACGTTCAAATCCTAGGTGGTGTGGTTCTTGCTAAATAAAGGCAACTGCCACTGTCCTGTGGTGTCAGTGGGGTCTCAGCAACAACATAACCTAAATGTGTTTCCCAGCTTGCATTATCTTTATCAGTTGAATGGGAGCCAGCATGCTTGAGGCAGTCTCAGAAATGTTCATTTTCTTTCAATCAGAGTGGACATTTTAAGATAAGAGGATATGTACAGTAAGTGTGTTGTGGCAGAATTGGAGGTCAGTGGGCCTTGTCTTCAGGGCTGTTACGTCCCCTCCCTCCAGGTTGGAGGACTTAGACTAAGGTACTGTGTTTGAGGTTATTAATTCACTCAGACCACATGTTCCTGCTGTAGATGTTGGTCCATGAAATGTGTCAGAAGTCAGCAGGGAATTTGAATATTCTCCTTCCCCCACCAGGCAATGCTGCTGCCACCGTACACAGCACCTATACGATCTTGTCAGCAAAGCTCAGTGTGGAGAGTGTTCAGGTCGCAGCTTCTGCTGATCATCACTGTTTCTGGTTAAAATGACAACAGCTGTCACTAACTAACCTTAATTCCATGATTTAAATTGATGACAAAATGAAAGTGGCTGCTGCCGGTTTGTGACTTCACTGCGAATGCTTTCAAGCAGGCTAATCACAGTAGCGTAGCAAATGATGGCAGCCAATCCTATTAGGTGGTAGATGGGGTAGACCCACTTTTTGTTCCACCCCTGTGTCTCTGATCTGTTGATGAGATTACCCACACAGTCCAAGATCAACCCAAGATGCAGGGGCTTAACACATCATCTTTCTGGGTGTGATGGAGAGCAAGGAAACTGGCCATGTAGGCCTAATGCATTTAGTAACATACCCTTAGATGTCATGTCCTAGGAAAAAAAAAATCCAGCTTTAGTTCACATTAGCTTCTCTGTCATACAACAACCTCTGTGATACAAGTTCCCCCTGAAACCTTGGTAAAATCCAATTATTCCCCTGGATTAAAATAACACTGAGTTTATTTGTGCTTGACAGATACAAATGAATTTTCTTTGCTTTCCTGATTGTTGTGTAGTGGTGTGTTACCTTCTAAATCCTCAGGCTCCATTACAGCGGTTCCATGCGCATTAATCTGGGAGAACCTTGGTCACATTGTAGCATTTACACAAGATACTGTGATATTCTCTGTTAATCCCAGACATGCAAAATATAGAAAACTATTTTTTATTTCTATGTTTTTCTGCAGTTTACTTGCATGCATTATTATAGATAAATTGATACTATAAATTGATAGTATGTGTGTGAAAACTAGGACAAAATGAAGAGCAGGAATTAGACAAATTGCAAAATATACAATTGACATCTTCCTGTTTTTCTCCAGGTCCCTCCCACAGTCAAAAGCCTGGTTCTGTTTACATCCTGTGGTGGATTGGCTACCAGCACAGGGTGTTTCCTTGCTGTCTGCCCAGTGCATGCTGGGATACTAAGCCCCTACTATGACAGTAAAAGTAGCATAATCTCCTAATACTCTCATCAGTGGCTACATGCTTAGATGTGCTTTTGCCCTAGTGTCAGTTTGACCAGCAGAGGCTTTGCATTTATGAGTCATGAGAATGAGGTGCAAATGTCAGAAGCCTTTGTTAATTCTACATGAGACAGACAAAAAGACACCCCACCCCAAAGCAGCTCACTGCCTTTTATACTTAATTACTGCAGGAAATTATCTAGAAGAGCCCGCTAAATAGGTTTGACCAATACCACGTACAGTCATAAATATTTACAACACCATATACAAACAGAAAACAAAGATTAAATATTTACAAAAATACTGATTCATGTAAATAATTCATAAACTACGGATGCCTGATTGTAACAAAAGCATCCTGTCTGAAGCTAGCCTTAGCAGAATAACTTGTAAATTTAGAAAACCATGCTAGGTCGCTCTTGTTAGCTTTAGTTATTTACACATCCAGAAGGAATCTGAATCAAATTTGAGTCATTTCTCAAAAAGCCAAACCAACCTTAGCCCTGTTCACTCTCAAATAAATCACATCATAGTCTTTTCTCTTCATTAAGACCAAAAACTGTAAATGTGCAAGCAGAGACCTTTGACTAATGTCTGATTCATAATCCTCTCTCTGTTGTAGTTGCTTTTCATGAGGCAGTATGTTTGTAATTTGGGTTTAAACCACACATAAACAGACCATCTTTTACATAACATCACTCAGTTTTCATCATTTTTACACTGTAATCTGTTTTTTAAAAAGTACATTTAAAAAATAATTACCTTTTTTCATTATTAATATCAGATAAATTATAAGGTAATAGGCTAGCCATGCACTTTTTAAAGATTAAAAAAAATGTATAGGGTTCTTTGTTATAAACTTCTTTATTGAACACTGAGATTAATGCTACCATTTTAATGGTGCCACTGAGCAGCTTGTCACTGAGATTTATAGACTGCAGGATGGTGTTGTTCTGCAATCAGGTTCTTGCCCATAAATACCACAACAGGGCGCTGGTTTCACGGTGCACGTACCTCTACTGCAGTGCTCTTCTTAGACGCCAGCCTTTTTTTCATTAGTACACATCTGTTTGCAGTCAGTTAAAAGTGGAGAGTTGTACATGGTCATTGTTTTACATATATATGTGTGGTTTTTGGTTAACAGTGGAAACATACATCTTAATGTTTGCTGTGATTATATGAGGATGAATGTGGTTCCCATTGTTACGGCATGTTCTTCATTGAGATCCTAGTCTGTATTCAGAAAGCCATTAGTATGTAAAATGCATAAATTCTCCTTGAAGAAAGAAGCATGTTGAGCTCATTTCTATTTGTGCTTTCTTCTGCATTTCATCACTGTCTCTCTCGAATGATAAATCATTTGTTCATGTCCTGAACTGAACTCATAAATAATTGTTGAGGTCTCTAAATTTAACAGCAAATATCCAATTTCTTTTTTTATAGATTAGATTTGGGTCCTGCCTCTCTCTCTTCTACCATTTATTCATCTTTCTCCCTCTGAGATTTTGCAGCACCATCAGTTGTATTCTAAGAAAGATTTACACTACGCTGCGGGCTGCTCCATTGCTGCTGTCCTCTCTTATCACGCTGCCTCACTGCCCTATGACAAATGGCGGTCACAGTAATCAAATGATAAAAATAAATGTGGTGATACAGCTTGTGCATTTGCACAAGCTATAAGTCAGGGGCAAGCCTCGTAGAGTAGCTGGGTGTAAAACATTTTAAACACGAAAAAGTGATGAAAATGAAAGACAAGTCAAAAAACATACAAACTGTCAAGTGAAGAATATTTTTTAACGCGCATTGAAAATATTAGAGAAATAATTGATTAGTCAACAAAATTCATCAGCAACTGGTTTGATTAATCATTACATAATTTTTAAAGCAATTTATATTATATGATAATAAACTGAATACCTTTGGGTTTTGGTCAACAGCACTTTGAAGGTAGGCTTTAAGAAATTGTGATTTTATTTTTATTATTTTGACATTTTATAGATCAATGATTAATGATGATTAGTTAGTACCTATAAAATTACTACTAGTATTTGGATTCTATATATATTTTAGATAAAACTTGTGAATTTATAGTCACTTCATAGTTTGAAAGTTTTATTTGTTTTAAGTTAACTTGCATTTTAGTTAACTCGTTTTTTTTTCAGCTAATATTTATCCACTTCCAAGTGGTAACAGAAAGGAGGATTACTAAAATGCTTTAGTCCTTCTTCAGTACTTTGTCACATTGCTGGCACATCCGAGAAACACCTGCTCATTTGTTTTTATCACTAAGAATCTAAAGTCATGTCAGTGGCACAAAGTTTTGAGGTAAATGCTAAAACCAGCATACTGACATGCTCACAGTCACAATGTGAACATGCTGATGTTTAGCGGGTATAACCACCGTCATCTTAGTTTACATGTTAGCATGTTAACGGATGCTAAGTAGAACAAAAAGTACAGCTGAGGCTGAGTAATAAATCAAAGTACTGGACAAATTGAAAATTTGGTTATAGATGAAAAGTCAGGATCATCCAAGTGTTTACAGTTTATCATCTGAGAACACAAATATTTCATGGCAGGACACTGCAGTGCTTAAAAATGTCAACCTCAAGGTGGCACTAAAGGAAAAGTTAGGGATCACCAAAGTCATTAGCATTCATCCTCTGGGGACCATGAATCATCCAATAGTTGTTGAGATATTTTAGTCTGAAACAAAGTGACGGACCAATGTAGAGTTATGCCACTAGCATAGTGTATCATGAATATTATTATGCCCCCACACCAGCACTAGCCGCGGCCTGAGACATTATGCTTTTGGGTGGTTCAGCAAGACCTTTCTTTTGAGCATATGTCAGGTACGCCTTGAGGGAATTTCTTTTAACAATTGGACTCAAGGATGAACTAATTAGATTTTGGAGGTCAAAGGTCAGTGACTTCATGTCTGTCCCATAATTTGACTGTTTGGTGGAGCCATAAAATCACAACGCAGTTTTTCTAATTTATGTTAATGTTGTTGTGTATTAACTTGGCTTTAGTTTACACCAGGGTGGCACCACCACAGTGCAGTGGTTAGCACTGTCACCTCACAGCAAGAAGATTCTGGGGCCTTTCTGTTCAGAGTTTGTATGTTCTCCCTGTGACTGCGTGGGGCCACTCTGGGTATTCCAGCTTCCTCCCACAGTCCAAAGACATGCAGCTTAGGTTGATTGGTGACTCTAATTTGCCCCTAGGAGTGATTTTGGATGTGGTGGTTGTTTGTCTACATGTCAGCCCTGTGATAGACTGGTGACCTGTCCAGGGTGGACGCCGCATCTCACCCAATGTCAGCTAGGATTGACTCCATGCAGCTGCCCCCCCTCCTCCCTGTGCAGTCCTGTTCAGGAATAAGCTGTATAGATGATGGATGGATGCAGTCTCAAAGTCAAACCTCTTGTCACATTTATTTGTAGTTTTTATTTTACTACTTCACATCTAATGTAGCCACAACTTTTCTTCTCACTGGTGTGCCCACACATCGAGTTGTGGTTGTCATGGCAACAGCAGAACTGCATGCTGCTGTGTGTATGTATGTGTGTGACGGGGGAAGCCGAGCCTCTTCATCACGCCCCCAGCCTCCATCAGCGCTGCAGATCGGGCATGAGAGGTTTTTGAAGAGGGTGGGGCCTGTTTTGCTGCAGAGGGATGTTCCACAGCCGCATGCTGGACTGACCAGTCTGGAAATCCCTGCTCACAGGCACGTAGCATACACATTTTACCCTGACTGCAATCAAATTGCCTCAAGCTCCCAGCATCCTATCATCTGTGCGACATCTCTGCTCTCCTCTGTCTCCTCTTTTCTCCTCCCCCTCTCTCACTGTGTAGTGCTCCGACGTCCCGTCCTCTGCAGCTCTGACTCACTTAGCTCTCAGTTTCCCATTCGAGCCAAGCTGAACCATACGACCTGGGAACATGTCTTCCAGCCTGCCCCTCGGGACTGCCACTGGGGCCAAGACTAAGCCCCTCTCCCCCTTCAGGAAGCGGGGCAGCCTGCAGTACGCAGCTAGCACAGGTGAGTAGAGGGAGTCTGCTGAGGGAGGACGGACTGAGTGTGTAGGTCCTTCAACAGAAGGACAAACCACACATGAACTGAGCCTGAGGTAGTAATGGTCAGCGCTGGTCACCCTTATATTATTTTTAAAAACAATTTTATATTTAGATTTCTGCTATTTTGTAGGATCAGTGACAGAAAGTGCTCATGAGAGGGAGACAGGGTGCAGCACTTTTTCTCTGAGTACTTTGGAGAGATGCAAACCTGTTGGTTAGGGAGATGCAGCAGAGGATGCTCTCTGTGGAGGATTTCATGTGTACGTGCTGGCTTTTCAGACTTATTTTTAAACATGCGTTCTTACATTCTCTGGCATTAGCCACATTCTCAGAGCTCATTTGCAGAAAGATCAGACTGGCTGTAAGAAACGATGTTCATGCTGCTGAAACACTGAATAACTCATGGCTGGTTAGGAACTCATATTTTGATGTTTTAACTTAAAGGATCACATGCTCTTTTATGAACTGGTGATTCCTTAGCTTCTGGGACCCTTTCAAAACATGTTGCATAAGGTAAAAGAAATGCAAGCTTAAACTAAGGATGTCACTTTTTTTTATAGAGGCTTTTCCCTTAAGGACAGTGATGTATTGCTTAGGTTAAATGTGGTGGTGCTGTTTTTCTCTCAGCTTGATGGCCGTGCGTGGCCTGGAGAGAATAGGTAGTGGAGGTTGGTACCCCCCCTTGAATGAGAGGATTAGCCTCCACTCAGATTTAGGCCCAGCTTATCAGGCTTTCATCTAACACAAAGAGTGCAGAGTGACCATATGACGAAACACCAACCATTTAAATACCCCTCCCTCTGTTTCTGAATTCAGAATCATCTTTCAATCCAAGCACATTTTCTCTGAAATGTAAATCAGGTTCATTTAGTTTATAGTAATATAAATTATGCTAATGGAGATAATTTTATGTAGCAGCCCACAACTGTTAATGTCCTCACATCATGCTGTTGGTTAAAAATTGTTCTTAGCTTTCATTTAGCATCATAGACAGTTTGTGCAAATGTGATGTTCCCACTGCAGGTTTTGTCTTTGAAGATTTTTCATACATGACTATTAATATCCACAAACAAAACTGAATGAGGAAGTTTGGTGCACTTCAGTCAAGAATAATACATGCACATTACATGTCTTAAACACTTTCATCTCCCACACTTAGTCCATGTCACCTCTGGGGACATGACAGTGACTGCCAAGGTAGTCACAGATCAATTTTAACATATAATATTTGGAGGTTTGAGTGACTCACCAACCCCACCTTCAAACAAGAAGTCCTCTGTAATTATCCTCATTTACAGCTTGTAGCTGACATTGACTATTACAAAATTGCTCTACAATCTCAGATCGGGAAGAATAAATTGTTTCTGGAATGATGAGAGCTACTCTTGGCTTTTCGACAGAAATAGATTTCTTTTCCTAATGTTGAGGAAATGCGAACTGTGCACAGATTCTATTCTGAAGCCTCCTGGTTCTGATTTAGAAGGTGTCTGCTAAAGCATATTAAGGTAACATTCACATTTTATACTATTAAAGCATCCAGAGAACTGAGTAAGTAAAACTGACATTTAGCTGATTCATCTTCTTTTGCTTTTTCTAAAGGTCACTCATCTAGTGTGGGGCTGATTGTACAGTAGAGTTTGCAGAAATAGTCATACATGTAGTGAAAACAGGCTGCCGATAGATCATAATGTGATTTTATTGGATGGGTAATAATTTCTAGTGTCTTTAATTGCTTAATGCATCTTTAATAAATTGATTGTTATTCCTGGTTCTGCTGCAGCCACTCATAACAGGACAATAAATTATTGAAGGTCTGACATTTTCATTTCACCAGTCTGCTTAATGATTGTCTAAACCAACACTTAACATGCTGGAGGAGCTTTATCTTATTAGATTTTTGTAATAGGAACAATTGATCCAGTCTAATACGTTGTCTGCCAATCAGTCGGAGCGAAATAGATGTGGAAGGGTGCAGCACTATCTAATCAGCACTAAATGAATCACTCACAGCTTAACTTTCTTTAGAGGTTATGGACATAATATACTGTTCCCTGTCAATCAGACAGCCTTCTGCTCTCCTGTGTGTTTGCAGAGGTAGAGTTCAGTGTTGTCCATTGGTAGCACATTACCGCAGGGCGTGTATAGTGAGCCCAGCAGAGAGCGGCAGTGGGCGAAACACTTCTCTGGCTGCAAAAAAGGTGGTTGTGAGATTAAAGCACCACCCACTCACCAGTTATCTTATTCTGTGCCTCGTGCTGTTTCACACTTTTTAAAACACTTAAATTATCTTAAAGGAGAAGAACTTTATGCTCACTAGTGAAGGCAGTCATTAAAATACACATTTAAAAATCTCAAGGGAAAATACACAGAAAGTGCTGTAGACATAAGAAAAAGTAGTGATTGTGCAGAGGAATGGCTCCTCTCTGGTTTATTTTAATATGCATCACAATATATTAAATTATTGGATTATTACTACTTTGTATTCATGTGTAAGTAGTATTTCTATGGAGGCAGAGCTTTTAAATTAACTAAACTTAACAGATAATTATAAATAACATTCATGTTCTATAAACTCAGCCTATATTGAGAATGTCCGACACCCCTTGTGTGCATCTACAGTAAGTCTCTGTTACTCATATGAAACTACATCTAGATATTTAGAGGGCACATGGTCTTGTGCCTTATAAGTGGGCTCACCTGTTTGTTGAATTGTTGCTCATACCTAATGATTCTGGTGCTGCAGATGCAGAGATACCTGATGCCAGCTGTTGTTTGCAACACATTAACATGTTTCTCAGCAAATAAATGTTTGTGTCTTGGTCATTTTATTTATTGGTGGATATTAAATAAGTTCACATTTATTAAAGTATTCTCCAGTTTCAGCTTCTAAACGGTGAGGATTTGCAGCTTTTCTTTGTCTTATGTGATAGTAAATTAAAAATATTTAGTTGTTGGATTCTGAAGGCTTTGAGAAATTGTGATTGTCATTTTTTGTAGGCTAAATGATCTATAAAGGGTCTGTGCACTTGCTCCATCACTGCTTTTATTGTATTAATGAATTTGAGTAATCCTTTTTCACCCTGTAGTATTTCATCTGGCCCTCGATTGAATACCTTGCATCTTGATGAGCTTGTGTTGATTTGTGTGTGATGCAGCATTACACCATAAGAGGGCGCCTTACTTGAACAAATGCAGCTGCACTGGTGAATCAGCGAACAGCAGTCCTGTTTGTTGTTCTGCTCTTGAAGTCAGAACAATTTGATTAGTCCTCTTGAAAGCAAATTTGGCTTTGAGTGCCTTGAAAAACACAATTTAAAAGGCAGAGCGGTAATTTGCTTGTATTCTGATTCGATTTGACTCTTTGCAGTGCTCTGGGTTCTTCTGTCTAGTTTGTCTGCAGTGCTTTTTGAAACTGGAGAAATCCAGTTTAAAAGTATGAAAACCAGCCTGTAAAGAGGATGAAAATACTGTATGTTTGATCTACAGTACATGATGTTCTGACTGTTCTGGCACTGCCTGTGCTTTGTGCCACATGAGCTCCAGATTTGTCCACCAACTATTAAAAACCCATCAGTGAATGACACTTGTTCAGGGTGATGTTTTTTTATTAAGATAAACATGGGAGCTGCAGTTTATTTTGATTTAATCCCACTCACGCCATTCTCCAGCTGTACATACTCACTAGATCACCAAATCCTAAGATGAAAATAGTTACCAACAAATACACTATTTTTTAAATAGTGTATTTTGAAATCAGCTAGAAACCACAGTGCTGCTTTAGGAAGTAATTCAGCATTTTTAAAAATATAAAATATACTTGTTACATATCTTCAGCATGAACCACTGGGCTTGGCCTCGAGTGCCACAGACCATGTAGGTCAGAAATTGAAAAGTGGCAGACAACACGTCGGTTCGGTCTTTTTACGAGACTCCTTGACACTAACAAAAATATTGCCCTTTCCGCATAGGCTCTTGAGACCTGCTGGCCCCGGTGCGCTGCACTGTTGGCAGTCTCATTTAGCTCACACATTTCTGTGTATATAGTATGAGAACACATGTTTCTGCAACCATTATGTGGGCAATGTGCTGGCCCTTTAATTCTATACATGGGAGAGGAGACGGGAGCAAGGTCTAATTTATTAGATAGTCGTATCTCTATTCTATTCACTATTAAAATAGGAAAAAAGGACCATGACATCTCAAATCTTACCGCTGAGACAGCACGATTTTATTTACTGACACACACACACACACGCACATGCACAGAGATGACACAAACATCCTGAACACATGGTCCCTTCTGCAAAATATGGCATGGAGGATATCAGACAAAGAGAGGGGTGCCATTAGAGAAAATCACAGCAGGAGGATCCACACTTGCCGGTGATGTACGTCATCTCCCCCCTCAGCTCCTTTCACTCTTGTGGTACGTTCCAGATAAATGTCAGAGGCATTTAAATGAGGAGGATCAGCTCCGGAGGCAGCGAGTGCACCGACAGCTGGCCTGAACAGGAGGCAGACAGAGCAGAGGGGGGGGGTCATACTCTAGGATGTGAGGGGGATTTCATGGATCTGCTGGACCAGCTCTTTGTATGTATGACAGGGACAGATAAAGTGAACAGAGGAGATGTCTGTTTGACTCTGCGAGTATGTTGATATGAAAGTGTGTATGTGTTTGTTTTTTCCCAGTTTTGTCATTTGACTGAGTGTTTGAAGTGTTTCTTTCTTGTTTCTCTCCATCCCTTCCTCAACCCATCTTGAAAGGACAGCAGACATCATCCTGGGCCATTTGCTGTTTGGCATGCTCCATCTCGCTGCAAGGCTGCAAGGACAGTCTCTCTCTCTCTCTCTCTCTCTCTCTCTCTCTCTCCCTCTCTTTGTCTCCTCTCTCGGCCATACTAGCTGCTGGTTAACGCAGACTCTGGGGAGACAGGTATGCTCCACTACTCTCATCCTGTGCAAAAAGCACAAGTACGCCTCCCCTCTTCCCCCCACTTTTCCTCTCCTTCTTTCACACTCACTACCACTCTCCTCTGCCTGTCCCTAACAGCTTTGCGTAACAGCCCTGAGCAGTGCTGTCTCTAGTGTGGTGGATGTGTTTTGATTGATTGTCCCACAAACTAGCTTTTTCATGTCTTTGGAGGATGGTGTAAAGATGCAACTGTGCACAAAGAATCAGAGCAAATCGATAAAATCGTGCTGACTGCACCTGCAGGGTCTCATGGAAATGGTTGTTTACAAAGCCAGTAGGCATTCTGCGTTAATATTTTTAGTATTTCTTTTCATTATGGTTGAAGGTTGACAGTAAGGGAAACTGGAAGAAAGTTTCTACTTGAATATCAGGCTGCAGACATGCAGTTCATGCAGCTGCAGAGAAAAAACAAAAGATTTTAATTACACATCCTGAGAGATGTCAGCTATTTGATGCAGAGCCAGCGAAGGATGCTGGAGGAGGAAGCATCCTTTAGAAGAGCAGAGGAGGGTCAGAAGATCCTGCTGCATTCTCCCTGTTGTGCATGTGTGTTTGTCTTCTGGACAACAGAGCCTGCATAATTGTGAGCAGCCGGATTTAATTTTAGTTATGCTTTTTTGTTTAGTTTGTTGTCTGCAGTATTTTCTTGTGAAAGACCAGAGCATAAAAGAATAGACATTTTGTATAACTGTGATTATATTGATTTTATTGATTCTTACCTTTATGATTTTATAGATCTCTTAGTTATGGAGGCCAAACTGCTTCAGTTAAAATATTCTGGCAATAAAACTAGGCTAGGTATTCAACTTTGGTAGGATTTTGCTATCCAGAGCACAGAGTACTACTGAGAGTTGGCACTGAATACCTGATCAGATTTATAAACTTGTGACATTATTCTTGGATCAGATTGTTCCTAAGTTAAATCAAAACCTGGCCACTATATGATTTTGCTTAGACAATATTTAACATCTGAGAACTTTGGTTTCTTTTGTTAAAAACATAAAAGGCAGTAATATTTTTCAAAGTAAAGTATTGAAAAAAATGTTGTTTTTGTATCAGTAGTGAAACTAAGGTATCTTATCTGCACCCATGTCAAAAAATGTAAAATGATACCCAACCTTATAAAAACAATATCAAAATGAACCTCCGGTAGTCCACTGTTCAAATTTGGCGCTCTCTACTAATCCTGTTTTCTCAGCGAGCTGTGAGTAGATTTCACTCAAAGACGTTTGACACAGAGACTGTGAGTCACTAGCACTTCTTGTGGGCTGAATTATAGATGTTCAGTCATTGAGTGCAGGTAAACAATGATGCATGGCCTGCCTGGTGGTAGAAACAAAGAGAGAGGGAAGGAGGGTTCTGAATATAAAGTACAATCATTGAGAATTTTGTGTATATATTGTAACATTGTTTTCCATGTGGGAAGAAACTTGTGGATGTTGCTAACAACACATTTCCTGAAGAAGACAAGGAAATAAATAAGCAGTACTGTAGATGACGTTTTGAAGCCTGTCTCTTGACCCCTGACCTCTTGCTCTGTTCTGGCCTGTTGGCTTCAGATGACTTCCCATTTGCCATCTCATCCCCGAAGACCTTTTACACAGCACCATCATGTTTGAGTTAGACAGGAGGTATGACTTTCCATTCACTTTGTTGCTGCTGAAATATGCATGCTTTTAAAGTCCCTCACAAGCTCATTCTATTTGACCTCATTTTGAGGTTTAGTGGCAATAGGAAAGACGGTGCTGCATTGTCACAGTTTCAACATGCTGTATTCTCCTGCTCCTATTAGATCAACAAAGCTGCACCTTCCCACAGTATGTCACATATGTCTAAGCAAAACATGGCTGGTTAAAGTGTCTGAGTGGTTTGCTCTCCAGCTCTGAAGGGGGGATGAGTTGTTACATAACCACAGATGCTCCTGATCCAAATATAGCAGCCATTAGGTGATTAGCTCTAGGTCCGGTAGGCCTGGCTGGGCTTGACCTTACTGTGGCCCAACTTGGTTGTCTTTGCCGCTGGTTTCCCCCTGCCCTCCACACCGGTGTTATCACGGACTTGATATGCCCCAAAATGACAGCAGAGATAGCATCTTAGCTGGCTATTACATTACACAGACTTACCCCTTCCAGTCACCAGAGGAACGGTTATGTGTGGCTGTGGCTGTAGGACAGTTTAATATCACAGGGATTTTTTCTCATTTTACTGACTGGTCTTGGTGTGGGCAGAGGGAAAAGGCTTACAATAGTGCTATTATTTCTTATCTACATAAATGACTCACCAGGTTTGTCAACTAGGTTCTTCCATAATGTTTGCATCTGAATTTTAAACTAGGGCAGCAACTAATTTTCAGATTTTTAGCTAATGATTCATTTAACTGTAAAATGTCAAAAAATAGTAAAACATTGTTATTGCATCTTGCTAATGAACCGGATTATATTATCACATTTTGTTTTGACTGACCAGTTGTACAAACACCCACAATGCTGTCTGTCCACCGCTTTGGTCCAGACTGAAATATCTCAATAAATGTCAGATGGATTGTCTTCAAATGTTGTGCAACTGAGTGAATGTCTCCCTTAATCCACAACAACTGTTATGAAGTTTCACAGAGCTCTGTCCCCATAGGGATGGATTGTAATCACTCTGGTGACTCCATAACTTGTCCTTCTGGATCAACTCAGAATACTCACAACAGTAATTACAATACTTTGATTTAGAACCAGATAACCAGCGAAACTAATGAGATTCCCACCTGCCTCTGGCACAAGTTAATACAGTGTAGCATGCTAAACTAAAATTACTGCCTGCTAAACATTAGCATCTTAACAACCATGTTAGCATGCTGAGCTGCTAGTACTAGTTTTGCTTTTATGTCATACAATATTGTATATATCTCTGAGAGTGTGAATGCTGTTTTATCTTGTTGAGGTCAAGGCAATGCATAACTCACTTTAGGTGTGTCTTCTCACATTGCACATTAATTTTAACTTGCCAAGACTCAAAGCTCAGTGTTCAAATATCCGTCCCTGAAAAGGTAACCACATGAGTACACTTGAATATTTATCCACTGAAAAAGTCAGTATTTTATTCTGAGATTCTTGTGTACGTTTTGGCATTGCTGCCTTGTGGTGTAGTCAAACTTGTCCTTTGTGTTGCGTGGGATGTGTTGATTGGACAGTGTTAAGCAGAAGGTGAAGAACACGTAGTGAGTTGTAGTGTGGCCATCAACCCCTTTCTCTTTATAGTTACCATTCTGTCTGCTTCACCAAGTGGTTTTCTTCTTTTTAATGAAGCTTCTTGTCCAGATCACCAGCCTCCCTGGTCTCCTTTGATTCCACAGAGCAGATATGCTGTGTTAAATAAACCAGGCTTTTTATCTGATGGGGCACCAGACAAAGACATACTGCAGGTACAATACAGTACATTCTTTGATGTTCTTGTGTGTATACTGAATGATGAATATTTCAGTGGCAGGTGCGTAGTTTGAAGGGAAAGATTAATACCATTGCAGGCAGACTGCTAAATAAACCACCTTAGGGGAAACATTGCAGTGAAGATATTGTCTCTTCTTACTGTGTCTGTTTCTAACTGACGAATGCTTAACCTCTCTGACTTCCCTATCACCTTCTCTCTTGGTGTCCACTCACAGCCGTCCTTGTCCTGGGTTTTATTTTTAAGGACCATCCCCATTTGTTTTCTCTCCTCACTTTTCCATAACAGCTGCTGGGTCAGCATAAATCCTGAGTCTTACAATGGCAACAGTGGAGGGTATTAGCCGGTGCACTGTATGTGCTGTATGTGTGTATCTGCACCTGGTCCATGGTCCATTGTGTCTTAAGGTACAAACAGCTGCTGAGCTCAGACCTCCACTGTTGTGTAAAGGCCCACTGGCAGAGGAACAACAAGCTTCTGCAGAGACTGTTTTGGTCACTGTGAATTAGTTACATGTTGAAAGACTGAAAATCATACAGTCATGTCAATCATCAGGGTGATTGAGATAGTTTAGTTGATTCATGCTGATATCTCAAGTAGAAGACATTTGCTATTTTTATCAAGTTTGATAAGCTCATTGACAGTTAATAGGTCACAGCTGTTGCAATCAAAACAGATTTATCATCTTTCCAAACCACGTTTAGTTGCTGTGTACGTGTTTCGATTTACTGAGAAGTCTGAATAGACGATACTGAGGCCTTTATGTGGCTTTACTAAGGCCCTCTTTTTTCTCCCTCATTTTATGATTGCTTTCTGTATTTCTGCTCCTCTGTAACTCCAGTTGAACTCCATGGTACCCGCCACCTCCTCACTTCCCAGCATTCCTTGCCTGGGATCCCTGTGGCTTTGAAGCAGTCCATTGACCTGCGTACATCCATGGACGGGAAGTACAAGGAGATTGCTGAGGTCAGTACTTGTTGATTGAGCTCACATATAACACTACTGTATTAAATTTTGCTTTTAACTTGTGACTTTCATAATGTTGTTTATTATGTATCTGTGAAGGAGCTGTTCTCACGCAGCCTGGCAGAGAGTGAGATGCGCAGCGCCCCTTATGAATTTCCGGAGGACAGTCCCATCGAACAGCTGGAGGAGAGACGTCAACGCCTTGAGCGGCAAATCAGCCAGGATGTCAGGTAAGTGAGAGAAAGGAAGGAGGAGGTGGGTAATATACAAATACATGAGTGTGTTTGTGTCCGTCAGCCCTGATAATCCTAAAGTGAGCTCAGCGTCTCTGTCAGCAGGTTTGAACCTGACATCCTCCTGCGAGCCAAGCAGGAGTTCATGAAGACCGACAGTGCCACTGATCTCGAGTGAGTGTTTCCCCCGGCTATAGTGAACAGTGATGTCATGTTTTTAAGTACCAGAATACGCAGTGGAAATGCAGTTTGTTTACTGATCTATTATCAGATACATAAAGGAGCAGAGCCAAGCTCCAGACCTGCAGGAGAGAGAGCTGGTTCCAGAGAGAGAGTACCAGAGAGTCAGTATTTCTGGAGAGGAGAAATGTGGGGTAAGTCAGAGTGGCCACTGCAGTAATGAGGTTTTTAAAAAAGTGTATTAGTTGAAACATAAACTTTCTTTTGTGGTGTTCCTCACAGTTAAATATCACCTCCTCTCTCAAGAGACACCTAACTTTTTCTTTGCTTCTGTCTTCATTCCTTTTCATTCTGCTGTTCTTCCATCAAGGTTCCTTTCACAGATCTTTTGGATGCTGCCAAATGTGTGGTGAAGGCTCTGTTCATTAGACGGAAGTACATGGGTCTCTCGCTGCAGAGCTTCTGCAGGACCACCACTCGTTACCTGCAGGAGCTGAGTGAGAGACCCCTGGGCTTAGATATTTATGAGGAGGAGATCCCAGAGACCACAGTCTCTGCAGGTACAGTGGCTTCAGAAAGTATTCAGACCCTTCCCTGTTTGTTGGTTTAAATTTACATGGATGAAATTGCCATTTTTGCATATCAATCAGTGCTCACCAACCCATAATGAAAACATGTTTTAGAATTTTTGCAAATTTATGAAAAGTCAAAAACTGACACTGATTATTTACAAAAGTATTCAGACCCTTTGCTGCGGCACTCTACACTGTGGACTGGTACATCCTGTTTCTTTTAGTTATCCTTGAGATGGGTGTAGAATTTGCCTGGGGTTCACCTGTAGCAAAATTAACTGATAGGACATAGTTTAGAAAAGCACACACCTGTGTTTTAAGGTCCCAAAATTCACACTACATGCCAGAGCAAAAACCAACCATGAAGTCCAAGAAGCTCTTTGTCAACCTCTGCAATCAAATTTTGTGGTGAGGAATAGATCAAGGCAAGAGCAGAAAACCATTTCTAAACCTTTAAGTGTTCCCAGGAGGACAGTGGCCTTAATAACTGTGACATGGAAGAGGTTTGGAGCCACCAGGATTCTTCCTAGAATTGGCCAAGAACCCAGTAGTCACTCTTAAAAAGGCCTCTGCAGAGATGACACAACCTCCTGGAAAGCATCACCTAAGCAACACTCCATCAATCATTAAATGACACAGCCTGCTTGGAGTCTGCCAAACATCATTTAAAGGACCCCGAGAGTATGAACAAAAAGATTCTCTGGTCTGATGACAAAAATTTAACTCTTTGGGCAGATCTCCACACACAAAAAATCCCCCAGTGGGGACAAAATGTAAGAAGCCTCAGAGGCATGCTCCTGACCTGGAACGGATGTCACAAGCAGACAAAAATAACTACAAAATTGATGTGTCAAAGTCATTATCAACATATTAACTAATATGAAATATGCTCTATTCTAGCTCAGCTCACTTAAAAAAATCTAATGCTAACAATAAGTCTTGTACAGTGTCATGTGCCACACTATCACATTAAGACACACCCACAGATGGTTCGATCTATCTGTTACCCACCCCTGAATAGGCTCTCGCCACACTACACAGGCTCTCACAGTATGCAGGCTGTTAAAATAGGACCTTCTTTAAATGTGTGTTCCCACCTGTAACAGTGCAATTTTCTGTCCCTTCTCAGGTGCCACAGTGCACCCCCCTGTTTCTAAAACGCACCCCTATGAGAACCAGGATCCTGCCAGCATGCCCCCTGATATGGGTTACGGTTGCAAGATGGTGGATGGTGTCATGCATGTGTACATGACAAGGAACAAGTTGGAAAAGTGAGATGTCTGTGATGAATACACTGGTGCATGCATGCTTTATCCTATAGTCCTCGAATTGCAAAGGAAGCTTATCTGTTTTTAGACTTAGTTCACACATTTGTTTTGGCAGAGACGTCTTCTTAGTTTTTTATGTTGCCAATAGGAGCACAGAGCTGGACCTGCCATATCCAGACCTGCAGGAGTACATCGCTGATATGAATGTGATGATGGCCCTCATTATCAATGGACCAGTGTGAGTTTAAAGATTTAACTTTAAATGATGATGCTTCAGATGTCCTAAAGGTCTGCAGGTAGGTATTTTTTTCTTCTGTGTTCTGTTCAAAACCATCTCAAAGAGACACAGGGGAGGTTAATTCTCAGAATATCTCAGAAAGTACAAACTCTATGCTTTTTGTTTCCTATTGCCACAGAAAGTCCTTCTGCTACCGTCGTCTGCAGTTCCAAGTCCCAGATTCACGTCCGGCTGAATGAGATGAAAGAGCTGGCAGCACAGAAGAAAGTCCCACATCGAGACTTTTACAATATCCGTAAGGTGAACTTGAGAGCTCTTTTTATTATACTTAATCAGAATTATTTGTTGTAATCCAGAACCAAATTCCAGAATATCTATCGACCTGTCTATCTGTCTGCTTGTTTGTCTTTGTATCTATAAATTCTATCTATCTATGTGCACAGGTTGACACACATATCCATGCGTCATCCTGTATGAACCAGAAGCACCTTCTGCGTTTTATAAAAAGAGCCATGAAGAAGTATCCTAAGGACATTGTACACATGGAAAGAGGCAAGGGTCAGACCCTTATGGAGGTGTTTGAAAGCATGAATCTGACAGCCTTTGACCTAAGTGTGGACACGCTGGACATGCACGCTGTGAGTAACACCCATGAAGGACACATAGACAGCTAATCGGCTCAGAAGCACTGCCTGGTTAAAAGATGTACCCCAGTGTTGAAATGACAAATGTGACACACAACCTTTTTTTCCTAGGATCGTAACACTTTCCATCGATTTGACAAGTTCAATTCCAAATACAATCCTATTGGCGAGTCCATCCTGAGAGAGATCTTCATCAAAACAGACAACTACATTGAAGGGAAATACTTTGGTCACATCATTAAGGTGATTCCTAAACACATAAACAATCCCTTGTATCTTTTGAACTGCCGTTGCCACCACATCCTGCAGAGTGACTGTATTAGGCACTGGCGCCCTCTACTGACTGCTTGTGTCTCCATTCCTCAGGAGGTGATGGCTGACCTGGAGGAGAGCAAGTTCCAGAACGTGGAGCTCAGGCTGTCGATCTACGGGCGCTCCAGAAACGAGTGGGACAAACTGGCAACGTGGGCCGTCAAACATCAGGTCTACTCAGACAACGTGCGCTGGCTTGTGCAAGTGCCACGGCTCTTGTGAGTAACCCCATGTTTGTGGAAAGTAGCTAAACACATTTACTCAAGCAGTGTACCTAAGTACAATGTTGAGGCACTAATACTTTAGCTGAGTATTTCCATTTTATGCTGCTTTATATTTCTAGTCCACTACATTTCAGAGGGAAATATTGTTGTTGTTGTTTTTTTCAGTTTAGAAAATATGTTGAAATGTTTTTGATTGTTTTAAATATGCAAATTAGGTGCCTCCTTGGAGAATGTTTTACTTCTGTTTAAATTATTTTTGTTGCATGTCTTTTCAGCTTGGTGCCATTGTTTTAATGATTTTTATATATATGTTGTTTGTACTTCATACCACAATAATGATGACAAGTTAATCCAAAAAAGTTCAATCTACAGTATTGTGTTATTTCGGTTTTTGTTTAAATAGAACATATGATTACTTCTTGCACTCCTGAGTAACCCTTAGACTTTTACAGACAGCTACATCATTGCAATTCTTTAAAATATCTGTTGTAAACATGAGTAAAATCATTACTAGATAGGTAACATTTCATCATTGCATCTGTAATTCTCCATACTGTGTTAATTTTCTCTTCGAAGTGATGTCTACCACACAAAGAAGCAACTGTGCAACTTCCAAGAGATGCTGGAGAACATCTTCATGCCGCTGTTCGAGGTTACAGTGAACCCCGGCAGCCACCCAGAGCTGCACCTCTTCCTTCAGCATGTACGAAGTCTTTCCTGTAGAACGTCAGCGTATTCACACATAGCCAGAGCTCAGAGGGTCTCATGGATCTCTTGTTGGTCCCTCACACAGGTTGTGGGTTTTGACAGTGTCGATGATGAGTCAAAACCAGAGCAACATATCTTCAACTTGGACAGTCCTCTGCCAGTGAACTGGACAGAGGAGGACAACCCACCCTATTTCTACTACCTGTATTATATGTATGCAAACATGACTGTGCTGAATCACCTGCGCAGGTATGTGACCACACCTCAGTTCAACTGGTTGCCCTAATCTGCTATAACATCAGCAGCCTGGTTATATGTTTTGATGTTTATGGAAAATAAGTAACAGATATTTACTTTATGCTTTTGTAGATTCCTCAGAAAGCTTAGTGTTTAATAGGAATGGCTAACTCTCTTCTGATTTAACAAACTCTTATAAAATATGCCTGCAAAAGAGACAGGCCTGCTGTCATAAATTGCCCCAACTGTTGAATTTTTATGTCACAATGAAGTTTGTGCACCTTATTTTTGTGAATTACTTAATAACAAAGAAACTGAAATTTTAAAATACTTGTAATGTTTTAGTCTTTTATTGTAACACAGAACCACTTTTAAAATCTGATAAACATTCCAGAAAAAAGCCGATCAATCAACACTTATAATCCAGGGTTTAACTTTTTTTTTATCCATTTCCAGCTGCCTTCACATTTTTCAGCTACAGTTGTGATAGATAAAACGAGATATTGTAGGGCACAAAAATACAGTAGTATGAGATGGGGTAGATTTAATAACCTTATTGCATTAGGGCATTCCCCACCGCTACTACAGCGTACAAAACCTTCACAATACATACAGTTTGTGCACTTTTACATTCAGATTTGCTTCATATTTCTATAGTTCTTAAGGGGACAAACCAAAAACATATTCTTGTGCTTAGGGTTCGCTCTCTGCCTTCTACCTGTCATCTGTTATATAAGTGAGTGAGACACTGTTGAACATCAGTGGATGTTCATTTATGTAGACTGTAATTGCCGAACCTAAGCAAAGCTGGAATTCCGTGTTATCTCCCTTTAAGCTGTTGAAATCTCCCTCCTAGCATCTGTGTTTGTGTTCCAGGCAGCGGGGGTTTCATACTCTTGTCCTGCGTCCTCACTGTGGGGAAGCGGGGCCAATTCATCACCTGGTGTCTGGTTTCATGCTGTCTGAGAACATCTCCCACGGGCTGCTGCTCAGGAAGGTGTGACCTCAGTATCATAGCATGTGCTTCAGTTTGCAAATTTACGGATGATTTTAAATAAAGCTGAGCCAGGCCTCGACTCATCCAGATCACCCGGTTTATGCTCATTCAGCTGAGCCATACTTTATATGTGTCACCTCCTTCTGTTTTGTTGCTTGTTTATTATAACACACAACATTAGGCCTCATGTGCTTCCAGGCTCCTGTGCTGCAGTATCTGTACTACTTAGCCCAGATTGGGATTGCCATGTCTCCACTCAGCAATAACAGCCTGTTCCTCAGCTACCATCGTAACCCTCTGCCAGAGTACCTGTCCAGAGGCCTCATAGTCTCTCTGTCCACAGACGACCCTCTGCAGTTTCACTTCACCAAGGTCAGTGCGATTGCTTCTCTGCAAATCAAGGCAAGTTTATTTGTATAGCACCTTTCAACAGCAAGGCAGTTTAAAGTGCTTTATGACAGGCATTAAGAGACGACCATATAGTATAGTTGTTCTGAGTTTTACTGCCGGTCTGTCTTTCCCACGTGGTATTCAAAGTACATGTCTACACATGCTTTGTGGGTGTGGTGTCTTGAAACAGAAACACAATTTTCTCTTATTCAGTTGCTTTTCTGCTTCCAGTGGTCATTTCAGATGAAACTCTGGGACCTAATATTATTTCCAAAAGCACCCACAGGTGTCACCAAACCACCCAGGACTAAAATCTTTTGCTTCATTTAATTCTGAACTACAAAAAGGCAACTCAAACTAAGAAGAACATTTAAAATGTCTGGCAGACATGCTGTATGTTAAAAGCTTTAAAAAATTTCAGCTGCAGTAAAAGCAAGGTGTTGTCTATTATAGGAGCCCTACTAGAAAAGTCCAGTTGTATAACACCACCTGTTCCAAGCTGTGCATTTTCTGTGAATACTCTAAAATTAGTAAACATTTTATTTACAGTGAATTTACAATTCACGCATGAGGTTTAACCAAAACTGCTTCATTGTGTTAAAACCATTCACCAGTGAATGTTTGTTTGATTGTGACCTGTGTAGGAGCCCTTGATGGAGGAGTACAGCATTGCTGCTCAGGTGTGGAAACTGAGCTCCTGTGACATGTGTGAGCTGGCCAGAAACAGCGTGTTGATGAGCGGATTCTCTCATAAGGTACCAATTATCTTGGCAGCACATTGCATATACAGTGCCATTCCCTTTTCCTTGGTCTTTTGTTCTGCGGACAGTTTAATTTCACTATCTCCTCTTCTGCACCAGGCAAAGAGCTACTGGCTTGGCCCAAACTACTTTAAAGAGGGACAGGAGAGCAATGACATCAGACGCACAAACGTTCCCGACATCCGTGTGGCGTACCGGTATGAAACTCTGTGTGAGGAGCTGAATTTAATCATACAGGCCATTCGTACTGATGAGCTGGAGACCATCGAAGAGGAGGGGAGTCTGTATATGGGAGCAGTGCAGGCAGAGAAATGACCATGCAGCACCACACAGTTGTCACTACATTCCCTGTTTGCATATCAGCATATCACACCTGTGAGAAGAAAAATGCTTTGTTACAAAGAGACTGAGAGCTGCTACTCTGGCCATATGAGCGAAGACCTACAGTCTGTGTACTCAAAGTGTTTACCTCTTTTAGTTTCTGAGTCATTCTTTGTTTAATTTATCATAGCGATTTCACAGTGTCTCTTGATATATTGCTATATTTTTACAGTTTGTTGACATTTTATGTCAACATGGCAACATTTTGCCCAACAAAATGAGCAAATGTGTGGCCTGGAGAAGGCTTTGAAACAGCATTTAGGTCCTGATTTTGGGAGGTAAAACAGTAACACTTAAGTTTTCCTCACTGTGTGTTTGTAGACACATTTTCACACATTTTCAGATTTCTATTTTATCTGTAATTAGTAGCAAATTATATGGATATTTCCAGGAAACACTTTAGGAGATTATTTGGAAATAAATTGGAATTTAGGGATCATAAACTTAAGTGTAACCATTATTTTAGTTACAGTTGAATTAATGTTGGTTTCCTGGGGCAGGTCACGTCACTTGTTCATACGCCAGTGTAGCTATAACCATGGATGGATTAGAGAGCAGGCACAGGCCCAGGGGCTCCTGAACCAGAGAATCTCTGTGAAGTGAGGGTTAACATTTCTTGTTGGAAAATCAATTAGCAACAAATAGACACAAAATGAATAAAAATAGATGTACAAAGCAGCCACAAAGAGATGCGATACAAGCACAAGGACACACAAAAAACTTCATAGAGAAGGAAGTGAGAGACAAAAATAACCAGAGAGAGAAGCAAAGTGACTAAAAAGAAATGGAAAACAAAAAAAGAAATAACAACTAAAGACTAGACACAAAATAATTAAACAAAAAAGGCACACAAAAACAAACGAGCAAAATAAAAGACACACAAAACTGATATTTTTCTGGAAGTTATATTACATCTCCAACATGTAAACAGGCACTTCATGTTTACAAGGTTCACACCTTTTGTTTGACAGATGCTACAGATGTTCCTAGCAGGAAATTTGCACAGTCATTGCTACTCGTTACTAGTGAGCTGAGACATTTCTTAAGCTTGAATAATGCAACCTGACTTAATAAATCACAACTTGGAAACTGTCCAGTACTAAGATTTTAGGAACATACTGACACACACCCACTTAGTAATGGACTGACACATAGCCCGTACAGTTGGTACAATCCAATCCAGGAGAACTTTCTTGAAAGAAATGCTTAATTTAAATAAAACTCACAAATACAACTGAACAGGTAGATGAAGTAGGAACAAGCCAAATTTTTTGTTGTCAAGGGGAGTGGTGTGTGATATGGAGTTCAGCTGATGACCTCAGTATTTCTAACATCCTTACGAAATCACAAACATAAATTTATCGTGTGATGCAAAAATGTGTTAAAAAATAACAAATGCTTAAATTTTGAATTTTTGTCTGGTACAGTTTCTACTGTTGTTATCCACAGGACAATACCTCATTCTGTACTGAACCTGCACCTTCACTATTCCTGTTTCTGCTAATATTAGCATCACATTTTCCACAGCTCCTCCATGTGATATTCTAGCTGTTTTTAGTGTTTACGGTCATTCAGTAGGGTTGCATGAAGGCATGTCAATGTTTGTTTCTGGTGTGAAGCAACTCATTTGTAGCATTAATCCTATTTTGTGACATTTTCTACAGACAGCCTGAGCTGTAACTGCGGTACCATCTTTCTTTTTCACACAGATGTTTAAAATATTTACAGTTCTGAATCATAGTACAGTGAATTATGCATGACGATCCTTCATTTTTCACGCCTTGCAGAAGTTCAACCATTGCCAAATCCATGAATAAGCAGACTTTTAGAGACCTGGAGGTTGCCAAACTTGACAAACCATTCTCCAACTTGTCCTATTGCAACTTGTTGCTATTCAAAAGCACTATGTCTTCTCAGAGAATTATGTGTGCTGTTTGTGAAATATTATTTAACATTTGTGTCTATGAAATGTTGCTCATATTGGTGTGCTTGCTTTGCTTTGGTTTACACAACACAGAAAGTGAATAAATGTCTTCTGAAACTGAAAACTGTAGGATACAATTGAAGACAAAATAAGGTATGTGTGAGGTTCAACAGTTAATCATTTGTGGAGGTTCTGTGGAAATGGGGGTGTGTGACTGAGTGAGTGAAGCAAAGACTGCACTGTGTGTTGTGTCCATGTTCAGGTCACTGCCTTCCAACTGGGTCAAAGTAAGCAGGAATTCAACACAAAATTCAGACCGATTACAAACCACATCTTTTCGAAATTAAAGAATTAGTCTCTATTTTATAATATGGCGGTACTGTGTATTTACCGCACAGACTAATCAAAAAGTAAGTTAATTGATAACAAAAAAATGGCACTTATTTGTGGTAGGCTCCAGCTAAACTTTGTAAGTCCTCCCAAGCCTATGTTTGCTTGGTACTCCTAGTATTTAGTCATGTAGTAACCCCTGCATACACTTTTGCATTATAGTTCTACCTGAGCTTTCTTTCTTTGAGGTTTCTCAGTGTCATGGAAAAGTCTTTTGACTTGCAGCCTCAGCATGACTCTGCATATATGGAGAACATGGGATTCAGTCACCTAGGTTTCTTATGACAGGTGTTTATAAGAAGCAGTTTTGTTGTCCAAATTCAAATATTCACGTTCACAAGGCGTGAAAAGCCAAAGAACCGGTTTTGTGCACCCGCCCATCTCCAGAAAGAAACGCCCTCTTCCACGGTGTTTTAAAGCGGCTGTGGAAACCGTAGCAGCCACATTCGGTTCCACCAAGTGACACAAAATGACGATGAAACTGGCTTACTGGGATATTCGCGGGGTAAGTTCACCTAAACTGTTTTCACTGTTAGTGAGCTACTAGCTCCTGTTGTTTGCAGCTTTGTGTGTGTGTTACCGGTTGCTGGTTGATATTCCGGGTTAACCGGCTGCCTTTCAAACAGTGCGCCTTTAGCTAACGTTAGCTAAACCACTGCTGTTTGTCAACTTTTGGCTGCATGGTTTAGTATTATCTGATTATTTTAGTTTTAAGATGAGAAAGGGAAAACTAAACTACTATATGTCCCTGTAAATCAAGTAGCTAGTTTAATTCGGTCAGATGGAAGAACAGTTGTGGTTCAAACAGCAGCTAAACGTGTTTCATTGTGCAGACCGGTGTTTTGTCACGTTTAGCTACATATCAAGACGTGCTACCCACCGTTCACAAAGTGGTTGGGTTTTGTTTATTAATCTCATGCTGAAAAGTTACAAGAGTTGTCCAATAAATGTAGTAAAAAGTACAATATTTGCCTCTAAAATGTAGTGAAGGAGCAGAAAAGGAAAACACTCAAAGTACATAAACCTAAAAACTGCAACACTTTGCTGCAAGTTTGAGTCTTGATTTCATTTACTCCTGTAGGACCTCAGCGATACTAAAGTATTTTCCAAGCCTACTGTAGGCGCCAGTGTTAATTGTAAAATGTTTAGTATTTAAATTCCAGAAAAAGACACTGGCAGGAAATCTCCAGTGTCATTGTTTTAGACCTCTGAATATTTATATTTAAACCTTGGCTACATTTTTAATTGGTTAATTCATTCATTTTGTGTCTCCAGGTGCAAATCATTGTTTAACGATGAATTAGTATTTATGATCATGCACAGCTGGGAATGAGGGACAAAAATGTAACCTGATATAAATGTCAGTAAATTCTTGCACTTAAACCTAATCATCCCAAGTGGTTTTCACTGGTGTCCTGCATACTTTAGTTGGTATGACCATGGGTATGAAGTTGCATTCTGTGTGATGATAACATGCTGGGGGAAAATTTAACATTAATAAAAATGAGTAAACGGGGGGGGGGTATAAAAATTTCTTTTTGCAGGTGCTGGGTAAAATGATAAAAGTACCCACACATTGCTGTCTTGTTCAACTTAACAGAATGTTTAATGCAGGGGACAGTTTGTGGTTGAAACAGGGGTCTAGAAATAATAAACCAATGGTTACAATTACACAAAACAAAGGCATTCTAACCAAACTCAAAATATGATCTGAAGCGAAAGTTTTGTTTACCTAGAAAATTATATGTGATTGTTGATACAAATTGCACAAACAGTAGAGCATTCGGTTAAAACCAATTGAGGATAAACGCGTCCAAAACTTCTACTTTAGCCCTCAGTTAGCATAAAATTTGCATCTGTTGATTTTCTTCAACAGCTAAATCAATGAAATGACCGATTTTATTCCCTAAAAATGTTTTTTGTGTATTAGTCTTAATTTTTATACATATCTCATATTATGTGGGTGATGTCACTAAGTTGTTAATTTTGTTATCTGGAAATTATGAATAGGAGAAAAAGGTGTTGTTTCATATTCCCACATGTAAACCTTGCAAAGAAAATGTTTAATTTCCTAAATGGCCCCAAACCTCTCCTTTTTTGGGGGGGGGGGGGTCG